TAACGTGTATCGGGCTGTAACGACTCCAACACCACCTGCTTATTACCACCTGGAACCAACACCTGTAGACAATAAAGCCGTCTTTCAAGGCTCCTGAAACTCACGGGCCAGCATGATTTGTGTCTTTGCAGGACGAGGAACAAACCAGGAGGAAGTAATGATTACAGCTCACTCACAGTTCTGTCCTGCGTCTCAGCTCCGGTTAGCGGTGTGTAGGTCACGAGGTACTGCAGGACGTGAGCGTTTGGAGGCGTCCAGCTGACCACCATGCTGACTGCGGTTTCCTCAGAAACCGTTACGCTGGACGGACCTCCACCGGACACTGAAACACCGAAGAGTAAAGCGGCTCTCAACATAGAGCTACAAAAGTCTTCATTACATTTAAAAAAAAAGAAGACATGTCTTCTAAACTCGGATGGATTTCTTAGAGCAATCTGCCTTCTCTGGTAGTCTCTGGCTGAACAATCATGTTTATTTATTTATTTATTTATTGACTTATATTTAAGGAGGATAAAACCACTTGAGATGAAGCATCTCCTTTACAGGTGGGTCCTCCTGGAAACAAAGATGCAAATATAAAGATAACAAAATGACTAATAAACACTACCACAATTAAAAAATAATAATAATAATAATAAATAAAAACAATTATTATAATATTAATAATAATAAAGAAATTAATAAAATACAATAAATAAAAATAAAACACTAAGAAATCGGCGAATCAAATATCATAAATTGTATGAACAAATGTACTAAAGTACATTTACATAAAAATATGATGAAAACTAAATGGCAGAGAGACAACTCAGAGAAATTTAGGTTAAAACGTATATTATGACTAAATGATGATACAATATTAATTCAAAAACAGCTACAGATGGGTAATAAATAATCATGAATCAAAGTTTTAAACCGCCTAAACAAAATGGTGGATCTCATAACAACAGGTAAATTATTCCATTCAGATGGAGCTTTAACAGAGAAAGCCAGCTTCCCTGACTCGGTTATATACGGATATCATAGTGAGACCAGAATGGTATTAACGTAGTGGTTAGGCAAGAAGAAACGTTAAAATAGATACTTGTAAAGAGCAAGTCACTCCAAATCAACATTTTTTTGCTGATGAACTATATAAATGAGTGTCTGATCGTGATGTAGACAAATGTAGTCAATAATTGGGCGCTTTAGTGCATTTTAGTTCAAATTAAAATATTCTGCCTAAAACTGTCAGCGATGCACTGTCGTCAGGCAAAAACTCAGCACTGCATTTGAATTTAAATCTGCCATCGCTATTGGCTAAGAGGTACACTATGATGTTAGATGATACATTATGATGTCACAATGTTGTGAGTGTGTGTATTTGTTAGCGGCTCCGCCCTCTCGGTCTGCTAGGCAACGGCATTTGTTGCATTTTTCAAACAGGAAGTGGGAGTTGAGTAAGAATCTGGTAGGGGGTGACTTGCTCTTTAAATAAAAACAACAACCAATGAAAGTTCCTCCTAGACTCAGCTGAGAGCCAGGACAAACAATCGTACAAACGACAGTGATGAGTACGAAATGGACGACGTAAAACAAAACGACACAAGCTGTTATCAATAATATCAATAGAGTGGAGACAGGAAGCTGTAGAATTCTGATAAACTATGTTCCAATCAATGCCTGAGTGTTGTTGCCATAGCAACCATCCACGCAGCCAAACTCGCCACATCCGTGTGCTGGAGAAACAAACATTCAACCAAAAAAAAAAAAAAAAGAGATCCTCAAACATAGTTCAATTAAAAAAGGGAAAAATAACGATTAAAATAAATCACTAAAAAACGTCTAAAGACATTAATTTATGAGCAGATATCGACGGAGGGATTTAAGTCAGTCGTGTGGGACTCACGGGTGCTGTAGCGAATAGCTACAGCTTCACTCTGAGCTCCGTCTCCATAAAGCGCCGAAAGAGAAATCTGGTATTCTCTGTCCTCCTCCACCCCCTCCAGAATCGCCCCTTCACTATCGCCGTCTACCTTCAGCTAAAACACACCAAACAGCAACCATTTATGAACCTTTCTGCTCATTTTTGCACAAAGTCACTCCAAACGTCCAGCTCCTGACCTGTCTCAGGTCTCCTCCACTGAGAGAGATCCATTTGATGAGGTAGGTGACCACGTCATCGGCGGTGGCCTCCCAGCGCACGGTGACATCGCTGCCTGAAAAGTTGGTGACTCTGAGGTCTGACGGGGAAGGCACCTTCACTAGGAGAGAGGAAACACACACCTGTACTTCACAGATGTCAGCAGAAGCGGAGAGACGTGACATTTTTGTGTCTTACGTGTGGTGATGTTGCCGGTGAGTGAGGCAGAAAGGCCTTGTGGGTAATGAGACTGGACTGAGACCAGGTATCTGGATAGAGATGAGAGGTTCTGCACCAGAACCGAGTTCAACTTTGTTACCTCCACCTGTTCAGATGAAAAAAACGGGAAAACGTACATTTATTATAAGGGACTGACATTTTTAAAGCCTTAGGGCGCCTTATGTCAGACTGCTGATCTGTGTCCTTCAGCTTTCTATCAGAGCATGAGGACAACCTGCCCGTTTTTCATGTTTGTTTCTCAGATTGGGCACAAACAACACGAGGATAATCTCATTATTCCACACAGCATGGATGTGGCAAACAGCCTGTCTCACACATCCTGGTCTCTCAGTCAAATGACTAAAATGCTTTTGCATCACATTCTAATGTTTTCAGCTCAGATACTCGGCTGGCCCCTAAAATGGCCCGGAAAACGGTGCTTTTGGGCCAGCCTGGTGAAACGGACACACTCACATTCCACGAAGGCCCGGTAAAATCACCCAGACGTTCCAGTAGTGGAAACAGATCTGATGGGTGAGCCCAACAACAACTGAGGGATGGGACCTCCACGGCCTTGGTCTGGTACGTTATCCACACGGTACCGGATCTCTCGGGTGGGACCATTGCAGGATAAGCTCATTTACTTGACTTGGGTTGGGCCTGGAAGCCTCGAGGGTGGAGGCTCAGCCACCAAGCACTCACACACGGGCTCCAAGCTCCAGGTAGGACCCCTGGTAACCCTCCAGGCCAGCTACACTCGTTCTTCCTTCCTTGCGACGGACCTGTTAAACCGCTCTTTGATTCTTCATCTTTTCTATCACAGCTACTGGCTGAAGTTTTTACAGTGTTTACGTTCCTGCAGGTGTCCTCGTGCCGTTACCTGCTTGATGACACTCCCATGGTTTGTGCTGTAGGTGATTCTGTGGCCGGGGACGTCCACGGCGCCGGGCACCCAGCTCACCTTCACCATGCTGTGAGTTACCATCGGGAACTGAATATTTACTGGCTCTGGGAGAGGGACTGCAGGTAGAAGTGCAACAGCAGCAGATAAGTGGCTACAATGATGGCGTGAATACATGTTTAGGGGTTGCTTACATGTGCTGGCAACAGAAGTGACCGGATCACTGGGATCTTCGTCATAGAGAGCATAAAGTGTGACGGAGTAGTCGGTCTCTGGCAGCAACTCTGTGAGCTCCACCACCGTGTCACCAGCACCGAATTTCTCCTTCAGACAGAAAAAAACACGACGTCTAAAACCCTAAAGAACTACTCACAGCGTTCACTAGTGAACTAGAGTCAGTGACGCAATCCTCGTGATCCGGGAAACACGGAGGAAAACATTCGTTTGGAAAAACCAGAATACTTTTTATGTTTCTCATTCTCTTTTCTCCGATGTATTATTTCTGTGTGATCTGCACTGTCATGAATAAAAATGTAATTAAAAGAAGAAATGTGAGAAAGTGGAACTGGCGGTTTCACCTTCTTCTAAACGTTGGATAGAAGGGCTGACATTAAAGAGCAAGTAACGTCTAAATTAACTTTTTTTTGCTGATGAACTGTATAAATGAGTATCTAATAGTGTTTTAAATGTGTGTATTAATTATTTTAGCATTTTGGTGCATTTTCTTTAAAAATTAAAAATTCTGCCTAAATACCACAGTATAGCTCCACCTTCAGCTTAAAACATAGAATTTGACTCATTTTGAATAAATTTTAGCCAATGGCTAAAGAGTAAGATACTACGTAAACCAGTAGAGTACTACGTAGCAGCTCTGTGTCAAAGTTATAAAAGCAACGAGCGTCTCGGCCACGCCTTGTGGCAAGTTGGGAGTTGTATTTGCAAGCGAGTGTAGGACGGTTAGCGGTAGTTCAGCATTAGCATATAGCATTAGCATATCCTAGTCTTTAGCGTAGCCTTTAGTGTTATACATACTTATTTAGTGTTAGCTTGGCTGTTGGATAGTGTAGTTTAGTTAGTGTTTGGCTGTTAGTGTAATTAGGAAAGTAGTTCAGGTTTAGTGCTCCATATCGTGTTAGTATGCTGTGAGAAGGTGTAGTGTAGTATGGTTGCGGTGGCTCTGTGGGGTTGTACTCCTTTCCGCTGGACTTAGAAATTAGGCGCCAGTGGTTGCGTGTCTGGAAAACATTCAGCTCCCGCCGGGTGCTGTAGTTTGCAACCAGCATTTTACCCGCAATTCTATGGAGTCGTATTAGTGGACTGTGAGCTAGCACAAAAAGCAGCAGGTAAAAGGAAAAGCCTATGTGAGTGTTGTCCTGGTAACCAACACACTTTACGCTTCTTCTGCTCTCTGCTCCTTCTCGGCATCAGACGCTGAAACGGAGCTAATTAGACGCGAGAACAAGCACGCCTGTGAAGTCCAGCAGGTCTGAGCAATTAGTCCTTGTTGACATCCGCTCAAAGTGAACGACACAGCAGGGGCGAAAGTAAGAGGGAAAGAAAATCAAGCTTTACTTTTTACCTCCTGTGCGTCGTCGGGCTCCCCGTGGCTGAGTGCCGAGTACAGGATCATGTACTGAGTAGCTCCAGGAGCTGGAGCCCAACTCACTCGCAGCGTGCTGTAGGAGGAAGGTGTCACCTCCAGATTGGCCGGCGTGGCCAATGGCACTGAAGGAGCAAGAGGAAGAGGGGAAAAAATCAATTCACAAGCATGTTGCTGCTAATATTTTAGTTAAAGAGCAAGTCACCCCCTACCAGAGTCTAACTCCACTCCCATTTCCTGACTGAAAAATGCACCACAAGGAGGTTTCGCCTGGAAGACTGAGAGGGCGGAGCCACTAAAACACACACACACACACACACACACACACACACACACACACACACACACACACACACACACACAAGATGCACTAAAGTGCTAAATTATTGAATATACGTGTCTACAGCCAGATTAGACACTCATATAAAAGTTTATCAGCAAAAAAAGAAATAGATTTGGGGGTGACTTGCTCTTTAAGTTTTTGTGTACACAAAAAGGTCAAGAGAGGTTAATTAATTCAATAAAGCACCGCTTCTATAAAGTCAGTCATGTGATGCTCACATGTAGCAACGGTTCCTCTGAGAGCCAGACCGACGCTTTCTGCAAACACTGGGAAGATGGAGACGTGGTAGAGCGTCTGAGAGGAGAGGCCATCGAGCAGCACCGTGGAGTCAGAGCCAGACAACACGACCTGCAGCCAGAACAGCACTCACCGTCATTCCCGCTTACTTTAAGGGTGTCAGTTTGTTTTAGTAATTAAAATATGAGTCAAAAAGGCAAACAGCTGGAATCAAATATGAACATTTCTCATACGTTCATGTTTGCATCACATATTTTCACGTGCAATAAATGTGTTTAATTTTTTATAAAGCAAGCAAAAGTTAAAACTTTAGCTTTGATGATGCATTTAATTCAAATATAAGCACAAATTAATGTTAACTCATTCACTGCCAATGATGACTAGTCGTCATTTGCATGTTTTTACTGTGTGGGCGTCGGACGAGCCCCCGCACAATGAGAACAAACATCTCAGCTCTAAAGCTGATCTTCATCCGCATACGTCACACGTCACGTGATCAGGAAGCAGAAAATCCATGTGGCAGGAGATCGTTTTGGGCCGCTGCTGTAAAAAAAAGTGAGGTGCGAACCGGAAAAGCTTCTGCCGATCACAATTCAACGGATTATGAAAGAACGGATAACGCTCAAAACGCGTGGATTCTTCCTGATGTAAGAGGCGAGTCTCCTCTCTGTTTTGCTAGTTTTGGCGTCAACATCATCCTAGCTCGCAACGTTCTGCCACTCTTAAAAAAACAGTAAAAACGGTGAGAAACGCTGGCAGCGAATGGCTTTACCGATCAAGAAACGGCTGGCGGTGAATGAGTTAAGGAATCCGAGAATGCATTTCTTTGCAGATGATATGATGTTGTTTCCAACCTCCTTCGGACTTTGACTCTCAGCACTGTGGTACACCACTCTGTACTGCTGGACTGGTTTTGCAGGATTGGTCCAGTGCAGCTTAACCTGCCTGGATCCCAGCTCAGAAAACCGGAGATCAGTAGGACTCGGGTAGGAGACAGCTGGGTCTTCTGTAGGCCCAGGATCCATCCCTGGAAACACAGGTCAGACATAAAAACCGGGATAGCACTAGATGAGATGGCAGACATATGGCATACGTTTTGTGATGCCACGGTCTTTTATCCTTCCACACAGGATGTGAACCAGTCGTGCCACCAGTTTGCTGAGCAGGGGGAAGTCGTTCACGTTGTAGACGTTTAGATCCACCGGCTCAGACGCCACCTGTCTCAGCTCAGCTTCATCTGCATTCTTCACACCTGAAAAATCAGAAGTTGTCAAATGTATCCACCGTTTGTAGCATAAATAATCAAAAACATATACTACTACAGATAAAGTAAAAGCACGACTAAAAGAAAAGCAGGAGATTTACGTGGCCGAGCGTAACCTGCAAACCTCTAAACGTCAGTCTCACCTACAGCAATGATTTCAACGCCTGCGCTCTTCAGCCGGTTCGCCGCAGCGATCGCATCATCCTGAGACTTCCCGTCAGTCAACAAGACCAAGAAAAATGGCGCGTCATCTCTGGTGCCTGCCTCAGGCCTCATGCTTTCCTCCATGACGTGGAGCAGCGCCTGTCCTGAATGACGATCGGCCGGTTAGACTCTAACAGACCGCTGGAGGCGTACGCCGTGTTGTGGTCCAACCTGTAAACGTGTTTCCTCCTTTATATCGAAAATTCCTCACTGCCTCCAACAGCTGGTCTTTAGTGGTGAAGTTGTTCAGGTGCCACTCTGTGCGGGGGTCTCCACTGTACTGGGTCAAACCTGGGACAAAAACACAACAATTCACTCCGCTTTGTCACCTGAAACAAGCTGGAGCCTCCGTGGTCCTCACCGATCTGAATGTAGAGCGGTCCAATGTGGAATGGTGTCACCAGGCCCTCCAGGAAGTCTCTGACCCGCCTGAAGTTGGAGCGCCCAATGCTCCAGGAGCCGTCCACCAACAACATGATGTCTGCCGCTGCATCGCTGTCACACTCGTACGGTTTTCTGGGAGGCGTCGCTTCATTCAAACAGATTGGAAATAACGGATTAGTCAAAGGTCCACAAGCTCTTCTAATCACACCTGTTGATTTTTTGTTGATGCTGGCAACGATCTACAACCACCAACCAATACTTCAGGTATTTGGACATGTCGTTTGAACATTCTCCAAGCCCCCAACTGACCCTTCCTTTAATTTCAAGTGGGTTGAAAACCCGTGTCACAAACTTAGGGGTCGTGATGGATGCCAACCCAAAAACGGACATTCATGTCAACCAGGTAGTTAAGACCTGTTTTTACCACCTGAGGTGTCTCTCTAAAGTGAAGCCCATTTTAAAAAGGCATCATACCTCCCGTCTCGACTACTCTAACTCAGTACTATATGCTATCTCCTCCTCCACTTTCGCCCGCCTTCAGCTAGTGCACAACGCAGCAGCCCGATTCCTGACTGGCACCAGGCAGCGAGAACAAGTCACACCGGTTTTGGCAAATCTCCATTGGCTTCCCATCCATCTCCGAATAGAGTTTAAGATCCTGGTTTTTGTGTTCAAATTCCTCAAATAACTTAGCACCTGGCTACTTGTCTGAGCCCATTCACCCTTATGTCCCTACGCGGTCCCTCCTATCAGCCGACCAGCACCTTCTTCATGTCCCTGGCTCCCGCTGTAAGTCCCGCGGGGAGCGCGCCTTTTCAGTTTGTGCACCGAAGCTCTGGAACCACTTGCCCCTCCCGATCAGACTCTCTTCCTCTCTTTCCCTTTTTAAGTCTTGTTTAAAAACTCACTTTTATTCTCTGGCTTTTAATTCAGCCTAATTTATTCTCTTTTTCCTTTCCTTTTCTATTTGAATCACTCGAATTTAATGGATTTAGTATTTATTTTTGATTGTCATGCTGTGTTTAAATGTGCTATACAAATAAACTTGGTATGGTATGGAATGTGTGTGTGTGTGCTTGGTGCACACACACACCTGAGTGTGTTTCTACACCTCTCTGTGGTTATTAAGGAGAAACAATACCCATGTGCCCTGGTCTGTTATTATCCGCAACCCGGGCCTCCCTCGTGTAAACACTGTCATCCAACGTTAAACCGGCACTTACAGCTCTGAAGTTGATCTAACTCCTTCAACTTCCAGCTTAAAAGGACTTTTCCTCGTTGTAGTTATATGTTTTTGGTTGTTTTATGTCATTAAATCATAATTAAAGCTTGAGTAAGGAAAGATACGGAAGTTGTGACGTGGGTTCGTTCACCCTGTTTCATCCCCGGTTCCTCCTTGTTCTCCACAGTGGAGCGGTGTCGCTCTTTTTCCTTCTTCCTCTTCCTTTTCTCTTTGGAGATTTTCTCTGGGGCATCATCGGGGAGCTCAGAAAGGGTTTCTGCTGCTGGAGGCTCTGTGGCACATTAACGGGTGTGGTTACAGAGAGATAAGTCAAGCTTGTTTATGGGAGGCTGTGAAAGGAAGGTATCAAAGAGAAAAATGAGAAAAAACTATTTGCTTTTATGATAAGGAGACATGTCGGCTCTTGTATCACAGAAAACACATCAAACGTATAAACAAACACATTTTCCCCGACTTCTGGGTCTCTTATTCAAGAGTACTTCCACCAAATGTGTTTATTTGGTATCTACGGTACCGAGCTGTGGTAAGCGTCCAGGAAACAGCAGAGAACTTCTTTGCTGGTAGAAGCTAACCATTAGCATTAGCAACTCCACCACACAGCAGAACTCCTCCAGACTTGTGTTATTGTGGAAGAGACAGCAGTGGCTCAGGAGGTAGAGCGGGTTGTCCAGCAATCGGAAGGTTGCAGGTTCAATCCTAGAACCTTAGTAAGGCGCTGTACAAACACAAGCCATTTAACAAATAGCGACTCTGCATTTTAACGCACAATATCGCAATATTTCAGCGTATCTATATTTTCTTACATCCCTGTTTCTAAGGGTTTATCCAGACAAAATAGAATAATGTTTAATGATATATAACAATTTACAACATCTTGTATTGAACAATTTGATAAAATACACTCATAAATATTGGATACGTCACCCACCCCTACCTGTAGTTGTGACAGCAGCGGCTGTTGTTGTTGTTGTTGTTGTGGGCTCTGGGAACCGAACTGTTGGCAGACCCAACAGAACCTCTGTCACATCATCCAGATCTCCTGATCCTGACCCGCCTGGCAACATCTTCTTCCTGTTCTCCCGGCTGCCGCTGCGGATCATCTCCTCCTCCTGAAGACTGTCCACTGGAAAGCAGCAAGTGCATGTGTTAAACGTGTAAAGGTCACATCTAAAATAAAATTACTAGCAAAGCATCTTACGTAAGAACAGCTTAACGTGAAAATGTATTCGTTTTCACTCAACTATTAAACCTGCAGCCAGTCTCGGCGTGCACCTGATGGGCTAAGCTAACAACGAGGCCCCTGGGGGTGTTAAAAATGCAAAAGATGAAGACACATCAGGAAGGAATTCCCAGACTGCCATCATTCCACTTTGACAGCCAGCAGTACAAATTTCCGTGTCAAGGTGTTTTTCTAACTTGCCGGGACTCGTCAGCCCAACACAGAAACCTACTGTCTCTTGCATGTTTTGAAGCAACCCGAGGCTACATCCACTTTTTCCTCGACCCCACCAGAGATCTAGGAGGGACTAAATGAGGGAGACAATGAATCACCAAAAAAAGAAAGATGTCAGCAGAAAATCTATCAAGACAGAGTCTCAACAGGATTTACTTTCTAATCTTTACAACAACGATCGGCCCCTTCTGCTTTCCTTCTCTTCTCACTGCAAAGTTCAAGTCCTGAAAACAGCCCCACAGAGCAGGCGGGAAGCCATCACTGAAGTTGTGTTTTTGGCCGAGAACGACAAATTTACAACCCAGGAGACACTAAAGTCTTGAAAGTAAGTCCAGCAGCTGTAAACACTCCTCCCTCTAGCCTGTAATCTGCCTGAGACAGCATCTATGTTTACTCTGGGAGTAGTGGCGGTACATGTACTTAGTCTAATGGCGATGGGGTTTAAAGGAGCTCATAAGTGTGAATGTGTGAAAAATGTGGCATCGTCTTTACTGTCTTGCAAATGTGATCTCACAATTTTAGCCAATGTTGTTTTTAAAGTTTTAATTCTACTGGGCTCGACACACGGGAGGCGACATCGCCTCTCCTCCATTCATTTTCAGAGACAACGCCATAATCGCAGGTCTCCCTCCTACTAACCGAAACACGAAAAATGTGCGTGTGAAATTTTGCGCTCGTGCACGTGTCGTGGCGACCCAGCGACGCAATCCCAGAAAGTTGAAATATTTTCAACTTTTCATCGCTGTCGCTCGGACGAGGACCAATAAACGGAGGTTTCATTCACTGACCAATGAGCGGACAGGATGCTCCGTACATCTCCGAGCAAACATAGACTCCGTTTCTCCTTATGTGACTGTGTTCATCTTAATCAGCTCAGTGGCCTAGTGGTAGAGTGTCCGCCCTGAGACTGGTAGATCAGGGTTCAATCCCTGGTTGGGTCACACCAAAGACGTTGAAAAAAGTGGGACCCAATGCCTCCCTGATTGACACTCAGCATTAAGGGTTGGATTGGGGGGTTAAACCACCAAATGGTTCCCGAGCGCGGCTGTGTCTGCAGCTCACTGCTCCTCCAAGGGATGAGTCAAATGCGGAGAACACATTTCGCACACATATCAGAGTGTGTGACAACTAATGGGACTTTAACTTTTAATGTGAGGTCCAAACCGTGAGATAAATTGAAGCATGTCCTGATAGACAGAGTAGGCCTCTCCTGGTTTGTAATATGGGATGAACCCATTATCTGTTTTTTTTAAATATAGTAAAATCAGAAGTAAGATTTCACATAACTCTAGCAGAACCTTGTGAAACATCATATCTACTGCTTTTTTAACTCGGAACTGCTTAAATAACCTTAATTCCCTCCAACCTAACACAGCCAATCAAAACAACGGAAGATTCAATTTCGCCATGGAACAGAACGCATCGGCGGCTTTGCCGCTGGCCGCTGGCATGGGTCACCTCCCGTGTGTCAGGTAATGAAAGCGACAGCAACGAATTTCGCTGATCGCGGTCGTTTGTCGCCACCCGTGTATCGAGCCCATAATAGAGATAAAGTTTCGGCTGAAATGTTCCAATCCTTTACAATGTTCACTGTGTGCTCTTTTTAAATATTAAACGAGGTTCTTTTTGCTTCAGACATGAAGGTGTTTTTAGTTAACCTTTACATGTTTCGACCGTCGCCTGCGGTCTTCTTCAGAAGTGTCACAGGTGTTTGTGTGACGCGTCTTTATCAGCTGTTCTTCTAGTGGGTGCGACCAACCCGGATCACACCTGGACTAGGACAACCTCCGCTGGCTGGCCTTTGGAGAAGGGAATCCCAGGTGCGAGACAGCTGAACAGAGACGAGGGGGCCTATCAGCTGTCTGGCACCTGGGATTCCCCTCTCCAAAGGCCAGCCAGCGGAGGTGGGCGCGACCAACCCGGATCTGTCAGAAGAATAGCTGATAAAGATGCGTCACACAAACACCCGTGACACTTCTGAAGAAGACCGCAGGTGACATTGGAAACATGTAAAAGGTAACTAGAAACACCTTCACGTCCGAAGCAAAAAGAACCTTGTTTAATATGAAATGTTCCCAGTTTTACACGTTTCCATCTTTCTTTCATCCATTTTCTCATGCCTCTTACTGGTGAATCGTCTTTTTGCCAGAAGTTTCTCCGTCGTCCCATTGAGCACAAAGACCTGGAGGGAATATTCCTGACCGGAGTCCAATCCCGCCACTGTTGCTCGGCCTCGGGTTGTCGTCAGCATCAGCTCTGGCTGTGGCTCCTCTACAGAAGGAAAGCAACATGGAAGATCATTAATCTACATGTTTTTTCTTTCATTTGAGCTCACTTCAGTCTGTAGTGGCTTTGTTTTATTCTCTTTAACATCAAATTTTGAGTACCTGCCATGAACGGTGCTGTGTGGCAATAAAAAAACAAAGTGGCTCTCGACTATTTTGACTAGAACTGCTCAGACATGTTTATTGTCAATCTTGTGGATATCCCTCTGTTTCAGAGGCATGTACACCTGGGTATCGTCTGCATAGTGTCAGAGTCTCCAGCCAACCGGCTTCCTCCTAGGACCACAAATCCCAGCTGACCCTTGCCAGGATTCCCATCATTCCCGACCTACGTCACCAACCGCGGCTATTTACAGAAGTCGCCTTCCATCTCAAGTCACTCAGTCATCGTTTCTTTGAACCCATGATGATAATGATAAATGACCCGCACTTGTATAGCGCCTCTCAGAGTAAGGACTCCAAAGCGCTTTACACTACAGTGTATCATTCATCCATTCACACACATTCACACACTGATGGTGATGAGCTACGATGTAGCCACAGCTGCCCTGGGGCACACTGACAGAGGCGAGGCTGCCGAGCACAGGCGCCACCGGTCCCTCCGACCGCCACCAGCAGGCAAGGTGGGTTAAGTGTCTTGCCCAAGGACACAACAGCAGAATTCTCTGTCCAGAGCCGGGATCGAACCTGCAACCTTCCAATCAGAGTTACCAACCTACCAGTTCTTCCAACAAACTCACTTCAACCAGTAAGTGACCTTGCTTACTTTTGGAATAGCTCTGCGCTTCCGTTTGACTTCGGTCAACGCTTGGGCATTCCTAGATCAAATCGTGTGCCTGCTCAACCCCAGTGCTCGCTGTTCCGCGTCTGGGAAGTCACGCATGCTACAGCTCAACTCCTACCAGTCGCCTGAGCGTTTTGACACATAGCAGCAGATAGTAATCTTGAGCTTTTTGTAATGGACCCAAGAGGCAGCATATATGTGGTGAACAAAGACAATGGTCCGAGTATCAAGCCCTGTGGAACCCCACATCTTTAAGGTGCAAAGGATGAATTGAAATGAAGTACAAAGTAGGGCTCGGCAACAAACCGAAAATGTTCCATTATCCAAACTTCTGATTGTAACCGAGATCATTTTTCTCACGCCAATAAATTTGATAATAAAAAAATTAAAAGATGCATGTAGGTTGGCGACATTCATGTCCCTTTAGGAAGCTGTACCACCTCGAGCCACATGACAATGTGACTCAACATAATACACGTGACAGCCCCATCTGTGACGACTTTTGTTTTCACGCATACTTGTAGTTATCATTCATTTAGGAGACTGATTTCATGTTCAGCCTGCATGAAAAAACTGACCAACCATTTTCAAAGATAATAAGTAAATAATGGTTTTTCAGTGAAGGACCTCTTTAAAAGCAAGCAGAAAAGCTGAACGAATAAAAATAAGCATGATTAAGTCAATCAGGGCATAAAATAAAAGCACTGAGAAAGCTGACATCTATTTAGGAAATGCACCTGGACTAGAACCACCTCTATTTTTCACTCAGACTGAATAAAACGTCGCTCAGAGCCTCTTAAAAACAAAAACCACTCATCACACATCGGTGTGTCTGGCTCACATTGATTGGTGGATGAAAACACGTGCACACATGAACAGACACACTCAGATTAAGCAAAGTAAAGGTATCATCACAGAGCATTGATCCACCACGTTAGCACAGCTGGGACAAAATACCTGAAATGGTTCTGACTCGGACTTTGTAGCCCTGAACGGGTCCGTCGGCCTCCTTCCATTTCATCTGCAGCCTGTCCTCTGACAGAACCGTCAGCTTAAGGCGACCTTGACAGCAACAGAGAGGAGAATCAATAAGATTTAAACGTAGTGATCAGAGCATGGGGTCACTAATAGGTCAAAAACTCCAGCAGCAGGAATTTCCTAAATCAAAGCCTCCAGCTGGAAAAGGACAGTCTCAGACCTCTCACTTCCTTCTGCACAAATCAAATCCATCTCTTGTTCTGACTTCATCTGCATAATTTCCAACTGGGGGTTCCCAACAAAGGATGCCTTTCATGTGTCCCCCCTCCCGTCCTCCACCCGTCAAAGCAAGTCCTGTCCACCGGACCGGAGCAGAAACCGGAAAAGGACACCAGTTTAGGATGGCGGGACCAAAGGTCATGTCAGAGGAGCGTCCCTCCCAGGGTTGGGGGGGGGGGGATTAAAAATGTAACAGTGCGACAGATAAAAAGGAAGGGAGGGGGGGGGTGAACATTAAGAACACCATTTTTATCCCTTCTGTGGTGCCTCTGCACTTAATACATCCTCTTCTGACTTAAACGTGTGTGTGTGTGTGTGTGTGTGTGTGTGTGTGTGTGTGTGTGTGTGTGTGTGTGTGTGTGTGTGTGTGTGTGTGTGTGTGTGTGTGTGCATAAATCAGAGGTAAATCTGAATGGTTGTGCAGGATTTTTGCAGAAAATGTGCAGGCTAACTTTTTGGAGTACTGCATCACAGTTTGTGCTCTCTGGGTTAAGAGCAGCATTTTTAGTAAATAATTAAACAAATCAGACCTTTTGGTCCTGTTGTCGTAAACTTTTAAAACTACTGCTGTGCACAGAACCGTCCGAGGTCGTAACCCGAACCACGATACCTTGGCCGTGGACTCCTGAGGACAGCAGCAGGAAGACGGTGGGAAGAAAATGCAGCATTAGCCAGACGGGTAACGACGAGGAGGCGGGAAGATGGGAATTCATGAGTGGGACCTAAGAAAAAAACAACAACAATGGCTGTTTAAAACCAGGTGCTCTTTGGGAACGTCTGGACCCAATGTTCCTCAGCAGTTAACATCTAGTGGGGGAGATGTCCTTGCTTGTCCTTGTTGTGTTTGATACGCTTCTATAACACCGCGTAGGTCGTCATTACCGGTGTGTATCACTGCATCAAGAGTTGCAACGCACAGGTTTGGGACCCTGGTCATCAAGGTCCAGGAGAGAAGAGCGGAGAGGCTCTGAAACAAAGTTGCTTGAAGGGAGAAGGCCAGTAAACTGGGAGTGGGGGTGTCATCTGCTGGTCCACAGTCAGGGCAGACGCCGTCTACCAGGACATGTTAGTGAACCCTTACTTCCTTCTGCTGATTCACTTTATGGAGACTCTGATTTCCTTCTCCAGGAGGACTTGGCCCCGCCCACACTGACAAAGGTGAGGCTGGTTCAGCGACCCTGGTGTTACTGGTCAGAAAACCGGCCCGACCTGAGCCTACCCATAGAGAATCTATGGCCGTGGTCAAGAGAGACACCAGACCCAATGATGCAGATGACCTGACCTTGGCCTCCATTACACTTCAGCAGTGCCACAGGTGGTACAGCCGGCTAATCCTGGCCCTGGCCGCATACACGTCTGAGCGTGTGCACTCACGTCCGTGTGAAACATCATCAGCGATGGCCCAAGTTCTGTTCCAGTCCTAAGTACGAGTCATGGATGTGTTCCTGCTCCATTCTCAGACCTGGGACAGCAAAGTATCCCATAAGTTTCCCACATCGCGTCGCAAACCGTTGTACTCTGAACGGCAGAGGAGAGAGCTCAGACCAGGAGTGTTTTATATCAGAAATACTAATAAATAAACATGAAGTCGTCTGTTATTGTAAATAATTGTGTATATCGTGTAAATTTAATTGTGTGTGTTTGCCCCAAATCTTTATGAAACACTCAGAGGATTCAGCTGAAGCATAAAACTCATAACTTATAACAGCTGAGCTTCAGATGACCTTTAGAAAACTGGGTCTAAAGTCAAAACCACCGAGCATTGTTCTCTGTGAATGGAAGCGCTCCAGCCGTCTGCTAGCGCCGCTGGAATTTGTCCAAATCTTGTTGGGAAAAATGAACGAAGGAAAACTCCAAAATCATTGGAATTTGGATATTGAGGATTTATTCTCGCTTTAAAGGTCGTGTTTTGATCCTGGAGATGAACGAAGATCATTTTTAAAAACGTGTTTTACTGTGACAGCCAATGCTTTGAAAATAACGTTTAAGCATACCAACGAAGAAGAGCACACGTGAATATAAACCTCCCTGAAGACCATTTTCAGAATGTAGGAGCCATAATATTTCTTGGGTGAGTTGATTACTGGGTTTACATTCTTTTGTTGTCATGGTGACGCAATAAGGGTCACATGGGAGTGGGCGGTCGGCAGGGGCGGACTGGCCTATCTGCCATTCTGGCACTGTCCCGGTGGGCCGCTTAGCCATGTGGGCTGCTTGCCCAGCTTGGGCCGACACTACTCCACAGTTGGTGATCTGCAGAACATTAGCTACATGGTAACCTGAAGCTAGCCTAGTTTTTCCAGGCGTTTTTAGCAAGAAAAACGCAATAGAGCAATGATGTAGGAGTTGTTTTACCGCGTTAGCATGTAGCTAAAGTCCCGCTGATCTACGCCCGTGGAGAATGAGCTGATCTGGAAGGCCAGGGCTCCCGGTCGCAGCGGTTTGGCCCTGCTTGTAATTTAACAGTCCCAGCCCATATTAGACCTCACATTCGGCCTAGAAACGAGTCCGCAGGCGGCAACACCCCCCACCGCTCTCCCAATGGGGAGGGCCGACGATTCGTAAAAATGCCAGGGCCGAATTTTGGTCCCAGTCCACCCCGGCGGTCGGAATTAAAAGGAGCCGTCATTCTGTCACCAGGCGATTTTGACAGAAAGAGGAGGGACGATCAGCCGTAGTTTTTGTTGACCGCAAATGTTCAGTTAATCACATCACAATTCAGTTTGTCTGACTTCGTTTAGTCACGTTAAGTTTAAGGATTTGACCAGAATTAAGAGTCACTTGTAACAATGATTGGACAAAAGCATTCCACGTCTCTATGAACTAATAAGAAGCGGACAGCGCGTCAAACAAGTAGACCTGGGCCCAATCTCTGCCTCGATAGCGGCTGTGGAAGTCGCTACACAGAACCTCGAGCAAATGTAAGTTTCCTCCATTTCACACAACGACATGCCTACCCTCTGGACACATCCTGGCTGTACGTCCCATCTACCTGCTAGATCTTCAAACACAGACTGAAGGACAGGAATGGCACCAAAAGGTGAATGGACCTACTTTTATCCCACATCTGGTAAAGTAACCAACAACTAGAGGCCGGCCGATTTATCAGGTCGATATATATATATTTTTTCTATATTTCGGCCATTGACCAAATCAGTTTTTAAAAGCCGATACAAAATTTAAAAATAAGGGAAGCTGTGTGGCCAACTGCCGCCACTACTAGACTGAAGAAAGGACCCAAAGTTTGTTTAATAATTGAAGTTCAATAAATTTTAAGAGAATTATTGACTTATTTATTTTATATTGCACACAGTGAGTGTTAAGTTGTCTTTCACAATCAATGTGGCGCTAAAACGTATAACGGCCTTAATAATCGGCTTTAGATATCAGCCACCTGCAACAAAATTCTTTAAAAATCGGCATTGGCATAAAAAACCCATATCGGTCTGCCTCTACCAACATATGCACACGGGCAATCACTACTCATTACTGTACTCATTAACCCTGGAACGATCTAACCAGGAAAAGCACATAGAACATATGAACCTGCTAACCTGCCTTAAAGGTTTAATGTCTCCAATTCTGTTGTGAAAAACTCAAAAACCAAACATCTATGAATTTAAAGGGCTAATGCTTCTCTCTCGTGCCTCAACATCACAGCAGCAGGGACAGAACGGGGGTGTTCAGCAGAAATAAGAGCTGGAGGTTTGTCTCAAAACCCCATTCAGAAGATGAAGTGAATCGTTTGAATGTAAAAGCAGCCTCTGGGGGCAACAAACCCCTAAAGATAAAGTTGAAATGTAAAAATCTTATTTATTATGCATTTTATACAGTGTACCGACGTTTTATAATAATAATATCAATAACAATAATGGCACTTTTTTGTATTTTGTCATTAAAACAAATTTACACTAAACTGTAATGGAAACAGAAGAAAGACGAGGCCAAAATGAGTCGTTTCAGGCCTATGAATCATCTAGCAGGCAAACGGTGTCGGAATAAGAATAAATCCAGCAAAAACCAGAGATGCAGCATCCTGTCCTGAACTGTGTTCACGTTTTAATCCAAAAACGCTCTGAGAACCACATCAACAGATACAATATTGTTTTCTGACTGTTTATTTTGATTTATTTACTTTTTATTATGACCCAAAACGCAGAAAGACACTCTGATCCCTTGAGATCTAGGCCATTGTGATTTTTGGGTCTGAACTGATCAGGTAGAAACTGGAAAACAGCTCAAGTCTGAAGAAAAACCAGGTGAGTGACAGGGTGAGTGTCACTGTCTCACCCTGTCACATCAGACCTGCTGGCAGCTTGGAAGCAACATAATGAAATGAAGGCCAACTCAGAAGCTTTTGTACACAAGTGCCTGTTTTTATTAGTATTTACTGACTTTCAGACAGACTTGTTTCCAGGTCTGCAGCATGAGAACAGGAGAACTCCTCGGTGGCTTTGGTCACCTGAGCAGCTTGTTGCTGCGTTTAATAACAGAAAACACTTTATTAATCTGGATTAACGCGGATTAAAATAAAATAACCGATCCTGTTAGGACGTTTGTTTTCCTGTCCACGGGTGTTCCTCAGGTGAGTGTAGGCTACCACCACCCCAGCAGGTTATACAGTACAAACAGGAGGTTTCAAAGATTATTTAGAATAAAACAGGGGAGGGGTGTTCATTAGAATAAAACGGTTCGTGATTCTATCAGCCAGGTGAGGTCTTACCTGTCCGTTCGGTGTGGGTTACGGTTGCTTCCTCAGACTGGCTCCACACGGCATTCCTGAAGTGGGAAGTCTCACAAACAGGACTAAAATGGGAAAAGCAGCTTTTGTCAGACGTGGAGTGGAGGAAACTCGAGAAGCTCCGCCGCCATGGGAGTGGCGCTCCCCAAAGAGAAGTCCCACGTGACGCTCCCTGCAGGAGGCTTCTTCTTCAGCGACCACCGGTCAGGGCCTCTTAGAGTTAAACACGTATAATATAATATAATATAATATAATATAATATAATATAATATAATATAATATAATATAATTAAACATGCGTTATGACTGAGCAGGCGCGTTGCAAGATTTTCAGAAGTGTGGGGGATGTTGTCTGTGCCTAAAATCTTTAGTTTAATTTCCATAATAGCGGAGCAGGTGCGAATTTTAGATGCGTCACGCATGTCTCCGTTTTAAACTTGTTTAAACTGTTCAGAATACAAATCCAGGCTCTGTCTCGTTGGATTGGTGTAACTAAAGTTTGTACTGAATGAAACTTTACATTAAACCATGATGAAAAGGATCCGATTAAATCGTTTCCCCCTCATTTACAGTCAGTACAGCGCAGTGCGCACGGCTCTGGGGTTAATCAAGTTTAGTTGTATCTCTTTGCAACAATCTTCACAAGAAGGCAAAACAGTTAAATGGCAGGTTACAGATATTTCCATTAGACTGTTTATTTTGACGGATAAACTCAAGGATGTTGGTTGTTTTGAAAGAATTACCCCGACGCACACTGATGCACACGGATGAGCTGACATTTTAATCGTTACGCACATCCGGAGGAAACTAAATCAATCAAGAAAGATTCCCATCAGAACATCAGAGCTTTATACTGGACATGTGCTCAGCGAGGCTCGGAGCGCCCACAGTGGACCGTGAGCTGAAGATCTGTAGAGGGGTTCGCAGCGCAGTGCAGAACCACGGCGATGCGATAAGATTTCCTCCCACTGAAACGGTCTGGAAATCCGGTCTCTCTGAGGGATGTCACTTGGAAAAATGTTAGCTGATTATGAAACTTTGGCTGAATAGCGCTCATTCCCGTCTCTAATATGGAGACGCATGAGCATCCAGTCTGAGGCAGAACAGCCTCTTCAGCCCAGAAAGCACCTGTAGACATTTGATCACGCACAAAGTTTATGTGGAGCAGAAGCGGTCGGGCCACGGCAGGTGAAACGTTCCTAGCCTACATGAAGAGAAACTGTTTAATTGTAACATTAATATGTTACTGGACACGCTGGTCTGGTTGGTTAGACCAGTGTTTGAAGTGGAAAACACACACACACACACACACACACACACACACACACACACACACACACACACACACACACACACACACACACACACACACACACCAGAAATAGTTTACACAATCTGACTTTTTTACATGGAAGTGAAAAACAAATTTTGATCCATTAGTATTTTTATTGCTTATTTATTTACTTATTGTTGTTGTGGAAAAATAATGTTGGTTGTTATTAATCCTTACATCAAGAAAGTCAATCACCACCTTTAACCACATCAATATCATAACATTTAAAACTTCGTATACATTACTAAACTCATCATAAAATAGTTATTTAAAGTTCTGTCGAGCATTTTAATAACAAGGCACATTAAGGTAATTAAATGTGTTCAGATTAGACTGAAAAGGCTGGACTCCACCGACGTTTAACTCCACGAAAATCAGAATTTAAAACGTGACTTTTTAAAAACCGTCAACACACGAAGCAGTCTCTTCATGCCAACACTCTCCAGTTTCTGCTTTATTATTTAAAACTAACCTTAAGGCTTCGGGAAATCACGATTGGTTTAATGATCACTAAATCAACCTGCACATCGAAGGGTGGCTGAAACAGCCGAATCTGCTGTAAAAGCAAGAACGTGAGGAACTGGAGCACCTCAGCCGTACTCCGATGCCTCCTCCAGAACAAGAAGCACCAAGACTAATCTGCACAAAGCTCCGGTTTCCAAACGCGTGGAGATACTTTCATGTCATTAACAGGCAGAGAACGAGGCTGCAACACCGCGTTTCTCTCTGCTGAGGACACCTTCACGCTTTCGCTACTCGTCATCTCCCGACACTCGAGCATCACATGACCATGCGGCTGAGCTGACAGGCGTCAGACCTGAGCACATGAAGTAATAAAGCTAACGACGTCCTGTTTGTGTGGCGGTTTGGAGGCTTTGTTCGCATCCAGATGGATGAACAAAGGAATGAGGTGTTCTCAGGTCCTGCTGCGTCAGTGTAAAGAGATCTCTTGCTCCTCATCTTCATCGGCAGCAGAGTCCTCGTATTTGTCGTCGTTCTGCAGCAGCAGCGGCATCTCCAGCTCCGAGCCTTTACTGGTGAGCTGTCGTACCGACGGGACTTTACCTGGAAAAAGAGATTTTTAAATGACTTGACTGACATCATGTCCCCGTTCTGATTCTCGGCATTATTTTCTCCCACTTGGGATTTTACACTTCACCTTTTCATGCAGCTGTAAACTCCATCACTCCCAATCAAAAGCAGAGGAAGGCAACTTTTATGGGCCATTCCCATCTGTACCGGGTCGGCCCGGGCCGGGTAGCGTAGGTTGTTTACATATCTGGGTGGCCTGGTATTTATCCGGGCCAACCAAGGCTCATTCTCAGCCCTCTTCTCGAGGGGGTCTGGTTCAGGCCGACCAGGGCCAACACACCCACTGCTGACAGCAAATTCACACCTTCCATTAGAGCAAGCCTCTGATTGGTGGGTAGAATCCGCCCACATGGGCTTAAGACAAGGATGTGTGGAATCAACCGGGCCAGGCTGGGGCCGACTGGGGCTACCCGGCCCGGGCCGACCCGGTACAGATGGGAATGGCCCACTAGACACCAGTCCAATTCAACTAAAACTAAACCGGTATTAGGGATCAGCAGAATAATTCGCCCAAATCTACAAAAGAGAAACATGAAAGCCTCTTTTGATCTTCCTCAGTTAAGGAACTTTAAAGAGCAAGTCACCCCCTACCAGATTCTTACTCAACTCCCACTTCCTGTTTGAAAAATGCAACAAATGCTGTTGCCTTGCAGACCTAGAGGGCGGAGCCGCTAACACACACACACCGACATTGTGACATCATATGGTACCAGCTAACGTTCTAGGGTACCTCTTAGCCAATAGCGGTGGCAGAGTTAAATTCAAATGCAGTGCAGAGTTTTTACCTGACAACGGCACAACACTGACAGTTTTAGGCAGAAAATTTTAATTTGAACTAAAATGCACTAAAGTGCTAAACTACTGACGACACGTGTCTGCAGCACGATTAGACACACATTTATATAGTTTATCAGAAAAAAACAGTTGATTTGGGGGTGACTTGGTCTTTAAAAAGGTTTTTTAGGTAAATAAATGATAAATCAGCAACAGTTAGTTCATTATGATATTTAGAAACACATACACACACACACACCTATGATCTGTTGTGGTTTCTAGCCGTAAATCAGCTGATCAGCTAAAAAGTTTAATCATCTGGAATGAAAATTCCACCCAACTTGTGTGAAGAAGCTAGAAATTCCTGCTCATTTTGACACAAACCGACTTATTTAATTAGAATAAAAAAGAAAAACTCACTTTTGGAATAAATAATCTTGAGTGTCACATGCAGAGAGACGCCACACAGACACACAGCAAACCCCAGCCAGTTCAGGGTGGTCATTTTATCTCCCAGAGACGCGGCCAGAAGCATCGTACACACCTCCTACACAGAAGAACCCGACAAACGTCTTCATTAGGAGCCTGTTAGATCACAGACAAACCCCGGAAAAAAACAAACAGATGCATGAGTACCTTCACTATGCCTGATATGGACAAAGTGAGGCTGGAGGTCCTGGAGACGAGCAGAAACTCAGAAAAGCCCAAACCGAAGGCCAGAGTCCCACCAACACTGAGAACGAGAACGGAGTTCAGGAGAGGAGAGAGCTCCGTTACCCGGAATAACTTCTCAGAGGTGCTCAGGCTGACCGCTGCAGAGAGACAGAACCGACACGGAGACCGGATCAGAACCTTTTAGGGGCAATAAACTGCTGTGCTGCTTTCCTGTTGGATATCTTCTTCTGAAATGTCAGCACCACCGCCATTTCACAGCGAGGTTTATTCCATCCAACCTACTGAACAGATGAAGTCCACCACGCTGTGGGACTGGGCTTTAGCAGTGGTGTCCCATCCTGGTCCTCCAGAAACACCATCCTGGACATTTTAGAGGCTTCTCTGCACCAGCAGACCTGATGTTGATCAGTGGGTGATCAACAAGTGATTCAACCATAGAATCAGGTGTGTTGGAGCAGAGAAACAACTGAAACATGCTGTCCAGTGGCCTTGAGGACCAGGGTAGGACACCACCGCAGCTTTAGGATAAAAACACTTGCCTGGGCTTTACTCACCTTCGTTATACAGGAAGAGGGGAAAGAGGCCCAGGAACATGAGAGGCTGTAGGTGGTACATGGCATCTATCGGGTTCTGGAGGCCTGGAACAGACGGGAAAAAGAAGCAGGGAGTTAGTTGGTTTCAATTTCATTCCAGATGGACGCTGAGATTCGCTAGCCTGGAAGTCTAGACCGACTCTAGCAGAGGCTAAATGACTGCTCTGCGTGCCGGTCTAGCCGTGCTCCACAGGAGCCTCGGCAGGCCCCAGCGGTCTGGTACCGCTCCGATCACAGCGCTCTGCCGTTTTGGTGGGCAGGACGTTGCTGCGACGGTGCAAAACAACAAAGATGGCAGCGGTGGCTCGTTTGAGACGGCTTAGGCATCAACTCTGGCTATTTAGACCTGGGCTTTTCTCTGAGTCCAGAGCAGATAGAGGTACTTCAGTCCTTTATTTAGAAAAAGGGTGAACTTGCGTGTTCTTCAACAGCGTATGGCGAACTGCCCCGCTGACTGACGTCTGTAGCGGTGAGTAGGTCAGTGTTGTCCAACAGCGTGCGGAGAACGTTTAAGACAAGCACAGATTCTGCCCTACGACTGAGCCCTTTTCGAAGACGCACCACGCTGGCAAATCAGCGGAATACTGCCGCCACGATGCGTCTTATGAACGCTTGGTGGTAATATTGGTGCAGCGTCAGACTTCTGAATGAAGATTCTGCGTGGGGACTGTGCAGGACGGACCTTTAGGAGCGGCTGGTAACAGAAACTTGACAAGAGCGGCTTCGATCGCAATAAAAAGCAAGTTATGTCCGAGGTAAACCGCGGCAGTGCAGACCGCCCCCCCGTACCCCCTTTAAACCGCCATCATGTAATCTTTTGTAAAAAGGACACGATTGTGCCACATCACTGCCACAGTCTGACCACTTATAAACGACCTAAGGCGCCCTGATGCCAGCTCAGCGTTACGGCGCTGTTTTCTAAAGAGCGCTTACGATGAAAAGGTAAGTGGCCTGTATTTGATACAGCACCTTCTAGAGTCCTGGAACCCCCCAAGGCACTTTACAACACAATCAGTCCTTCACACCCTGGTGGTGATGAGCTACACTGTAGCCACAGCTGCCCTGGGGCATATTGGTGGAGGCGAGCCACCACCAGCAGGCAAGGGGGTTTAGTGTCTTGCTCAAGGACACAACAACAACAAACTGAGCGAGGCTCGAACCTGCGACCTTCCGATTACAGGGTGACCTGTGCCAACGTGGACCCGTCACTTATAGGTCGTGGACAGACTCACGTATTTAAAGAGCAAGTCACCCCTACCAGATTATTATTCAACTCCCACTTCCTGTTTGAAAAATACAACAAATGCTGTTGCCTGGCAGACCGAGAGGGCGGAGCTGCTAACACACACACACGACATTGTGACATCATAATCTACCATCTAACATCATAGTGTACCTCTTAGCCAATAGCGATGGCAGATTTAAATTCAAATGCAGTGCAGAGTTTTTACCTGACGACGGCGCAACACTGACAGTTTTAGGCAGAATATTTAAAGTTTAACTAAAATGCACTAAAGTGCAAAACTACTGACGACACATGTCTACAGCACGATCAGACACTCATTTATATAGTTTATCTGCAAAAAAATGTTGATTTGAAGTGACTTGCTCTTTAAGGATGCTTGCCAGGCTAGAGCTTCTTAAAGAGCAAGTCACCCCCTACCGGAGTATTACTCAACTCCCACTTCCTGTTTAAAAAGTGCAACAAATGCTGTTGCCTAGCAGACCGAGAGGGCGGAGCCGCTAACAAACACACACACACAGGCTCACAACAACATTGTGACATCATATGGTACCAGTTAACGTTCTTGGTACCTCTTAGCCAATAACGATGGCAGATTTAAATTCTAATGCAGTGCAGAGTTTTTACCTGACAACGGCACAACACTGACAGCTTTAGGCGGATAATTTAAGTTTTAACTAAAATGCACTAAAGAGCAAAACTATTGACGACACGTGTCTACAGCACGATTAGACACACATTTATATAGTTTATCAGAAAAAATAATTGATTTGGTGGTGACTTGCTCTTTAAGTTTTCTAGAAAACCTACAACTATATAAAAATAAATAAGTGTTAAATCTGCTGCAATTGCAAAATACCACATTCAGATACTCGTGGGAGCTTACACAAGTAAGAATAACCCTAAGAAAAAAATTGAAGACATTTTTGCGTAGTTTCCCCAACAACTAAAAACACAAATACATTATAATCCTGTAGGTTGGACCAGATTTTTCTGGACAAACCCAAAAGCAAAGCAACGGGACTTCTCCACATGATGGAAACACTTTTTTTATTTGAAAGTAAAAATACGAACCCAGCTCTGCTTTCTGCATGAGGACCTGAGTGAGAGTCCAGCGGATCCCTGCGATAAAAGACGCCAGCAGAACCATAACAAAACCTTCAAAGTTGAACTGGGTTGACTGGAATGTAAACATAAAGAGACCGCTGGAGATCAGCAGGACCACAAGGACCAGGAAGGGGTTCTGGTTTAAGAGATGCAGAAGAGAAACAGCAGCATTAGGGTTTCACCACTGATTCACGTGGATGCGTCTTAAATAGAAAAGAGCCTCAGTTCAAGTGTCCCATTAATGGTTACCATTAGGGAACAAACGCTGGAGCGGTCAGAAAAGGATCTGGTCCATGACTCACCGGCTCCTCTAGCTTGAACAGTAGTGAAAAAAAGAGGATGAAAAGCACGACTGAGGATTTGGTCATGGTGTACCTGGAAGGAAAGCATTCATATGAAACAATTCAACAACATCTTTAAACACAGGGGATCTGCAGGTTGAAGGGAGCCAAATTTAAGACTTTTTAAGACCTTTTTAAGGCCACTTTGACCAAATTTAAGCTATTTTAAAAATTTAACTTAAGCTATGACTTCCAGCTATTGCCTGGAACCGGTGCTAACCACGTCGCGAACGTGGGATTAGCCATCCAGCTACCATTAAGCTTGCACTTCCCCATGGCGCAAGCTCCCACTAGCTTAACCAGCTAATGTGCTCATCTAAAAATATCCCCCTTTCACAACCAGCTGAACGTGTACGGTTCCGCTTACGCCAACATTGTACACAAAAAATGCTGACACTAACTACAAAGTCACGAAAATTTGATAGAAATAAAATAATCTTGTTTATTGGGTCTTTGGTAATTTAAGACCTTTGGAAACTCTATTTAATGATTATTTGTCATTTTTAAGGATTTTTAGAGCCTTAAATTTGGAAAAGCTAATTTAAGACTGTTTAAGGACCCGCGGATAGCCTGCAAACATTCTGAGCTGCTGCCTTAAAAACTTACAGACTGATGGTGATGAAGAGGAAGCTCCAGTTGGAAAGGCCAATATCCAGTGCTGTTGCTAAGGCTGTGAATAGGATGGACACGGTTTTAGATGTTTGTTAGGAATCATACACCTGCATATATGCGACGCACACAAGGATGAAGGACCTTAACGGGAATAAGGAAAACGACTCTCAAGGCTGATTTCAAACCACTTGTAGAAGTCGACACCAAACATAGCAGGTGATGCTCTGACCTCACAGCGGTCATCAGCCACCTCCTCGACTGGGGTGACATCAAGCTCAACTCACTGATGAACCTAGGAGAAGTAACAGCTCAGTGGCCTAGCGTTACTGTCCACCATGACACTGGGAGGTCATGGGTTCAAATCCACGGTCGGGTCACGCTTGACAACCAGCATTAAAGGGTTCGATTGGGAGGTTAAACCATCAAAAAGTTCCCAAGCGCGGCCCGGGGGATAGGTCAAGTGTGGATAACAAATTCCCGCACGAGTGTGACAAGTGATGGGACAGTCACCAATACCACAGGAGTTAATGGTTAACCACCAGAACATGGCGGTGGTCAAAAAGAACAAGGTGGTGGGGACAGATGGAGCAATTCTAAATAACAGCAGGATAAAGAAGCCTGATCAATAACGTTTGACAGAAGAAATAAGATCAACGATGGAAAGTCAAAGCCTCAGCAGTTTCAACAGCCAACCTAACACTAAGAGCTGTAGCCCAACAGATGCTGCTCAATGGCCTAGTGGGAGTGTGTCCGCCCAGGGACTGGGAGGTCGGAGTTCAAATCCCAGTCGGGTCATACCAAAGACTTTAGAAAGGTCTCCCTGCTTGACACTTAGCTTTAAGGGGTTGGATTGGGGGGTTAAACCACCAAACAGTTCCTGAGCTGCCGTGTCTGCAGCTCACTGCTCATCCCCATGGGGAGCAGTGAGCTGGGTTAAATGCGGAGGACAATTTTCACCACACCACACCAGTGTGACTTGGGGATAACTATGGGACTTTTAATCTTTAATCCCTGGAACAACCTCTGACAACTTTAATCGGAGTGTGAGGATGTGAGAGACATTTTTCTAAGAGGTAAAGACATCTGTTAAATGCTGAAAATACACACATTTTTTGTTAGAAAGAAGTCCCACTTTTGATAAATGTGGAAAAATCAGACAATATTAGTCTGTGGTTATTTGTTTATTGCAGCTTAACACTATAGAGACAATCTGTTCATGTTTGACCTTCACCCACTTTTCTGAATCCCAGAATAACAGTCAAAGGATTTGAGTCCATGTACCTGTTGGAGCCACCTTAAAGATGTAGTCTCTCCAGCTCAGGATGACGCGAGGTTTGCCTGTCCAGCACTGCACGGCCCATCGTGTCACAGAAGATAGACAGAAGATGATGACGAGATGAACCAGTGTCATGAACAGAGGATAATGGAAGCCCTGAGTGAGATGAAATAGTAGACAGGATTAACGAGAACCGCTGTTGGGAAAAAAAATGGCAACCATAACTCCAGGAGACAGACATAATATGGATTAAGATGGGCACCAATCAAGAAACAAATAAGAAGCTCTAATAAAGTAACACTCTGGGAAAGGGAATGGGTCTCATTTACCTTCATTAGCCATTTGTTATAGAATGTGATGCCTATAGAGAAGACATAGTAGAGGAGGACCAGTCCAATAGTGCAAAGACCTCTGAAGAGGAACTGAACTGGGCACGCCATCCGGGACTTCCAGGACCAGCTGTCCAGAATGGACTGTTAATGCAGAGGGAGCATCTCCAAAATACCTCTGCACCCCACCACACCACCCATAATGGTTCACTAGAATAAGGACCTAAGGGGAAAAACAACAAACATATGAGATATGTTATTCGGATTCAACAGAACATCCTTATCTACAACAGATAATGTAAATATGTGAGATATTTCAACTTAGATTATCTGAAATGACTGGGGGACCTCACCCTATACACCTGAAAGACACATCCGGTCTAGCTTTAACAAGCTCTAGCAGACAGCCATGACTTGTTAATGTAACTTAAAAATAAACTATTTTTTAAAATAAAGTTCTCAACTAAGGAGAGTTGTAAATAAAACCCTTCACTTCTAGGAGCGTTAAATTGTATTTTATTTACCTTTATTATAATTCTGACCAAGAACCATGCGATTTGGATTTGGAAGATGCTATAAAATTAAACCAAAAAGTCATTAGACTGTGTTACCACAGCCACAGCGTTAGCCTACACAGCTAACAGCTAACGAGACATGTGGAGATGAACGGCGTAGCACACACATCCTACTTTACATCTAGATATAATATAAAGTGTGTCCGGTTTACCAGATGGCTTGTGAAGAATCATCACAACCAAGCAGTTGCTATCTTTAGCCGTTAGCTGACAGCTAAGCTAACGCAACTTTCGGATCTCTAAACGTTTTAACAACATTAACATAGAAACATTTAGTAGCTAACCAGCGACTCTAGTTTAGTTCTTACCGGTTCTGATCTTGTGTACACGTCTGAGCACAGAAAGAAAGAAAATAAGGCACTAGATATTTGAGCTAGTGTTTCTTTCCGCTATGTTTCTTCTTCTACGCCTTCAACGGAGGTTGACACATTATTCACAAATGCATGCTGGGTTAGAGAAGCAGAAAACAAAAACCGTCAAAAAGCTTCAACTTCATTATCATTCATGATATAGTTTGGCTAAGTAGAAACAAAAACACTCAAGAAAACAATTGGAATAGATGCAGATCTGAAATAAACCTAATATACATATGAAGTCGTTATTTTTCCCGTTTGTTGAATTCAGCCTGTCAGTGTGACTCTCATGGCTCTAATATTTATTTATTTATTTATTTATTTATTTATTTATTTATTTATTTATTTGTGACTCGTTTCAATCTCGATTTTAAACAAGAATTTATTCAAAAGATTAGATCTGCGCTGACGTTTCAAACTCAGTCCAGTAGGTGGCGGTCATGCAATTTGAAGTTGGCGTGTCAAACGCTGAAGCCCAAAAATACCAAAGAAGAAGAACAACAACGAACGTAGAAGAGTCTGGGGATTGTTGTGATCCAGTTTTCAAAGTAAAATGTAATTTTTGTTCTCTAAAACGCATTTTGATGTTTGCATGTTGTAAGTGTGAGGTTTATCTTACAGTAAAGCGTCGTTAAGGCTCGTTTTATCGGCGTTTTCCTCCAGAATTAATGGCGGACGAGGAGGACGAGGCTGGCTTCGAGGAGGAGTTGGAGGACGGGTCCAGCGGAGTGGATGTCGGCCACGGCAGGAGAAAGAGACTCTTCTCTAAGGAGCTCCGGTGCATGATGTACGGGTTTGGAGACGACCAGAACCCGTACACGGAGTCTGTGGATATTCTGGAGGATCTGGTGATCGAGTTCATCACGGAAATGACCCACAAAGCCATGTCTATCGGGCGCCAGGGCCGCGTCCAGGTGGAGGACATCGTTTTTCTAATTCGCAAGGATCCCAGAAAGTTCGCCAGAGTCAAAGACCTCCTGACCATGAACGAGGAGCTGAAGAGAGCCCGGAAAGCTTTTGATGAAGCCAATTATGGCTCCTAATGAACTCACGTTTGTTTGTCGCTTCCTGCTAACTGGTTTGTGTTTTTTTTAGTGGTTCTCACTTGAATAACAGAACTGACTGTTTTAATGACATGTTTACACTGTCAAGTCATCGGAAACTCTCAAATAAAGTTAGTTTGTTTCAAATAAGTCCCAACACCAACAGGAAAACCAACATCTGTTATTTACATTGAAGAATGAAACTTTCTGCCAACACGTGTTGGAAAGGATTGTTAAGGTTTTTTTAAGTGTTTCCATGGAAACTGCGTGAATAAATTAACATTTCATTATCTTTCCTGCTGTTTGGATTGGAGAGACTTTTGTGGTATATCAGGTGTTTCTGCAGTTTAAAATTAGAGTTTTTACACCTTAAATGTACCCGTATGTCGTTAGTTTCCTAACTTTGTTGCTGTCTGCAGAAGAGATGACCTGCTGTGGCACATCTGGCTGGGATTTCATAATTGTGAGTGTTAACCCTTTGATGCATAATGGTCACTACAGTGGACAGGTACTCAAAATTGTTATTTATTTGTTTTTGCTACAAAGCACAGCTGTTGAAGACTATTGCATTTGAGCCCCTCCATTTGGACTTCAGTAAGTCAAGCCAACATGTTTCATGCTCAGAATGCACACTGTCCACTGAGGTGGACATGTAATAAATTATTTGTAAATTATAAAAAAAAAAATATTTGTTGAAATTTGTTTCATTCACACCTAAAGACGAATGAAAAAAATCATGGTTGAAGATTTCATAATTCATGCATCAAAGGGTTAAAGCATTTTGTAATAATGTTCGCTCATCTGTTCAATCAGAACTAACCAGTTATGCCATTCAAAGATATATCTACAGTTAATTGCTCATAACATTTCCACAGAACACTTCAAAGGATCTAAACGCTTCCTTTGAAGTGTGCGTCAACAGCCATCAAGTGTTGAATTACAACCAATCAGAGTGTTTTTCAGAAACCTTTAACCCAGAAATAGTCAGATCTGTTATTTATATATTTGCTGGACTTCAGTGTTGTCTCATATGAAGAAAAAGGTCCAATCCAGGCTTCGAGGTTCATTTCACACCTGCATGTTTGTGACCCTGGCTGGCTCACAAACGTGCAGATGTTCTAGTTTATGAAGATTTCTTTGAGTTCAAACAAACACAAATAAAAGAACAGCTTTGAAGAGCTGCTGGAGCGTACCATCACACCAATCTCAGGACAACTGGATGTCGTTTTTATTTTCTCTTGTATTTAGATAAACTGATTCTTTAAATAATAAACATTTATGTATCTGAACTGAGAATTAACCTTCATGGTCCCTCAGTCTGAACCCAGAAACGGACCAAACACCAAGTCTGGGTTCTCCTCACACCAGATAAGACTTAAGTGTGTGTTTGGATAACACAAAATCTGGTGACAAAATGAAGAAACAAAGGCATTTTATTTAAATTCCTCAAAAACAAAATACTTTTTACACAGACCATAAATATGACAGACCGACTACAAGTGAGCAGGTGTTAGTTCATTTATTCTTTTCAAGCTTCTTTTTACAGTGAAGAAATTGAATTAATTGGTCTAAGCAGCAGGTCACAGGCTGCCCTTCTATCTAGACTACATCTGGATCAGAACTTCACAAAGAGGGGGGTCGATGAAGACACCAAGCCTAGCAATCAGCAGAAGGTGTTGACTGAATTTCCTCATTGCAGCTTTGCTGTCCGGTGGCGGGGTCCAGTGTCAGCACAGCATCGGTAGCCTGCTGTCTGCCTTCAGAGGGAGTCAGCTCAGCCGGCGACCCCCACCAGGTGCCCTGCTGAGGATGTCTGCAAGGCTACAAGGATGGAGAGGTAAGGCAGTGAACCAGGTGGACAACAAGGGGAGTGTGGGTGCTTATTCGGGTCAGAGAGGTGGAGGCAGGGCGAAGGTTGGTGCAGATGTGTTCAGACAGAGGTCTCACAGGAGGGTGGAGGAATGTCCAAAAGTCCTGTTTGATTTACTGCACGTTCTCCATCATCTTGAGGAATTCTGGAAGACACGATAAAAGGGAAAGTAGTGGAGGATGACAAACTGAGTGAAATCTCAGTGTTTTTGTACGACTTCATGTTTTCCGTATGAGATGATAGGAAGTGCAGCTTAAACACAAGAACGTGCGAATCCCAGTAGCCGTTATCTCAAAACCCCTTAAATTGTCTGGAGACTCGTTAAATGACAGGAGTAATTAATGCATTCATGAAGCAACATTTTATCAGATCACGTCATCAGAGCCTCATCTTTACGCACGCACCATCAAAGTCCAGCATGCCGTCGGAGTTTTTGTCTCCATCCTTCATCAGCTCATCAACCTCGTCCTCTGTGACGGGCTCGCCGCTGCTGCGGATGATTTGGGCGAATTCCTCTCTGTCGATGTAGCCGTCTCCGTTCCTGTTAGGACGAGCAGATTTTTACTTGATTTGCACAACGAACCCAGAGAGCAGGTGGCCAGGTTCGGTCTCGCGCAGCCGCAGAATGACGTACTTGTCAAACACACGGAAGCACTCTGCCAACTCTTCCTCGCTCTTGCCGGCCTGGTCCTCCTTGAGCAGCCTCACCATCATGACCAAGAACTCCTCGAAGTCGATGGTGCCGCTACCTGGGGGTCAACAGGAAACCACATGGTTGCGTTTCTACTGTCAGCCCTGTTTAACTTGCGTTTACGCAGTTTTACGCAGGCGCGCACTGGGACTCTTACAAACATTTATCACGAAATGATTTACCAGAAACGTTCTCCATCAGCTTCATTGTAACTTTCTGTTTCCTCTGAGCTAATCAGACCGTTTAAAATGCAAAGTGCGCAAAAGTGCTTTTACGCACAGCCGGTGCTTGTGCTGGATCAGAAACAGACACCCCGTTTCCTCCTGCTCACCGTCCTCATCGACCTCCTCGATGATTTCGTCCAACTCCTCTCTCGTCGGGTTCTGGCCCAACATCCTCATCACCGTACCCAACTCCTTGGTGCTGATGTCACCGCCACCGTCGGTGTCAAACAGGTCAAAGGCGGCTTTGAACTCTGGAGAAATAAAACAACAAAAACGTGTTTTTCTGCTCAAAGTTAGCCTAAAGTGTATGTGTTGCTCTGTTTCTGATATTTAATCGGTCCTATTATTGAAGTGGGACACCTGTAACCATGGGAACAACATCTATAACAAATATGTCGCCATATTGACTAAGTTTACACAGATAATCCAACTCTTCCATCTTAAAGAGCAGGCCTGCATCAAAGCAGCTATTTTTTGCTGATAAACGTTATAAACGAGTGTCTAATCGTGCTGCAGTCAGTAGTTTGACATTTTAGTGCATCTTAGTTCAAATTTAAATATTGTGCCTAAAACTATCAGTGTTGCGCCCTCTTCAGGCAAAAACTCTACACTGCATCTGAATTTAAATCTGTCATGCCATTGGCTAAGAGGTACACTATGATGTTCGCTGGTACATTATGATGTCACAGTGTCATTGTGAGCCTGTGTGTGTGTGTGTGTGTGTGTGTGTGTGTGTGTGTGTGTGCGCGCGTGTATTGGTTAGTGACTGCCCTCTTGTTCTGCCAGGCAACAGCATTTGTTGCGTTTCTCAAACAGGGAGTAGAGTGGAGGATTAAGACTCTGTTAGGGGGTGACTTGCTCTTTAAATTAAGGAATTTCACTGTCAGACAGAATAAAAATAAAAAGAACGACACGACTTGATTCACAGAGCTCATTTAACAACAACCGACTACAAACTCAGTCAGGTGGAAATAATTGGCTCTCCATCACAACATGTCCCTGAACTCACCAGCCAGCATCTCCTCGCTCAGGTAGGAGCGGGCCTCTTGTTGCGCGTCGGTCTGGAAACAGAAACAGGTGTCACCTCATTACAGACTTCCTCCAGGCGGGTCCCACTTACTCAGCTCACAGCCACAGGGCAGATTGTCACGTTTACGGTGGAAAAAGCACACATTTCATTGAAATCCTGCCACTAATCATTAATTTGTGATTATAATAAACCAGTGAGCGTGCTGTATGATCCACTGCTAATGCTAGTGCTGTGGTAGAAGCAGACTGTCACCAGCTAAAGCTAATTAGGACAAATGGATGAGAAGTTCTCAGACATAAATAAAAATCTACATTAAAAAATGAAAGAAAAAGATGTTTATGAACAGTTGGGGTTGACTAAATGGTTGACTCAAGCGAGATAAGTTCACAAAAACAATCAGATACGATCAGAAATGTAGAATAAATCAATCACCAAAGACAATACGGTTGAATTAAAGTAAAATTCAACAGAAAAGTTATTTTTTATTTCAAAGTCTTGTGTTGCAGCCCAACGTGTCTCAGTTTCAGCCGCGGTGAAAATTAGTCCGGCTATTTCCGGCTCAACTCATTAGGCTCCCTCTAAAAGGCCTGCAGACATCCAATCCTCTGGAATTTGAAGCCATAAGCAGAATCCAGACTTTCATCAACATGCAGCGTGTTACTCAGAGTATCTGCTAACTGATTTTTACATAAATATGCATTTAGAAGACATCAGTTAAACTCTAGCAGCATAGATCTCTGTCTGATTGCAGCATATTGGAGGGAAGAGTTAATAGAAATGACCAAATAAAATAAAGTCAGCAAATGAAGCTCTGATCCGAAGGGATCTACGGTCCAGCTACGATTTTTACATTTACACAATCACAAACTGGCTTTCTCAGCATGGGTTAACGCCTAATTGCCCTCCTCTCTCAGTGGACAAGCGCCTGGCTCACAGATAAAAGCTCATCTTCGTCATTTTCTTCTCATTTCTCTTACCATGTTTGCGGATTAGCGTTCCCCCCCAAATATCCAAGAGTAAAAGAACGGCCCGAAGGAGTGGTCAATCCGTGTACACCCCAACAGAGAGACTAGACATCAAGACAAGATTCAGACTCACTTTAAACTGGACACCTAGGCCCCACCCACCGCTGCTCACAGGACTCCAGATTTAGTATCCTGAACATTTAGGGATCTGGGACCGGGGCAAGCCAATCACACCTTGGAGAGGGACGCTCTAGGTGCTCCAAGCTGTGTGGATCAGAATGTGGAACGAGTGAAGAGAAGGTTTTAGCCACTTTTGCGTTCTTGGTAAACGTTGAAAACACTAGAAGATGCACGTGACCACCGGGGGGTGGGGGGTGGGGCTTCCTTTGTGCTTTTGAAGGTATTTTGCTTCTCATTCAAGGATTATCTTCTAAATTTAAACTGAACTCAGATGTTTCCTGGATGAAATCAAGAAAATCATAGATCACGTTGTTTTAGGGAAAAGTTCTTCAACCTCTGTTCTTTCGGGGTTAAAACCACCCTAAAGTAATCATTCAGTCACAAAAACAGACAAATCCGGGGATCTTAAGGCCGTTCATCAACAGTCAACGCACAGAAGGCGCCTCTGTGCTCGCTCGTTGATCATTGGTTCTAAGGTGGTTCTGCGTTTTGTGAGGATGAAGAGCCGATCTGTGTGTGAAACTCTAAACTGAGAGAAGAAATGCATCAGGGCCCGAGCCCACTTCCCTGTGGAGCACCAGAACCCATGAATCCTGGTTCTGGCTCGCCCCATTCACACGACCTGATGCTCCAAGTTTGGCAGAGGTTTCCTGAGGAGGAGGGTTTAATTGGGACGTGTAGAAGTTATGCACCCACGAAGAAAGGGGAGGGTTTTCCTTTTGAGCGTGGAGGTGATCTGCCTAGTGGCAGACCAGCGCTTCTCCAACAGGAGAGTAAATTTGTGACTTCCTGGTCTGAGCTGCTTAGCTTTGCCCTCTGAGCCACTGATTGCTTTGCTAGGAGACGGCTTTGTGACGGGCATTAACACACCGCTATGAGGCAGGTGGACGACCCAGAGATGGTTCCTGAAGTTTCACCAGATGTAGCAGCTCGGTGGGGCAGGAGAATTGATCACGTGTGCTGGAGAAAACCTGTTTGTCATGCATGCAGACTCATTGAACACAAAGAGCGAGTTTAGGAAGAAGCTTGTTTTATTCAAAGAGCAAAGATCACAGCAGAGACTCAGCAGGATGGGGGCGGAGCTAGCAGCATTTCTGGGGAAACGGCAGCTGCCAACAGGACAGCTGGGAGTGCGTCTTCGTCTTAAAAGGTCTGAACGTGGGTTTATAAATATCCCAGCCAAGCCCCCGGGCTTCATGACCGACGGAGGAGAAGGAGTTTCATTTACATCCATTTTCTTTGACTGATGCGTCACTTTTGTGGTTTTATCACACGGTTGGTTTGCTGTCTGAGGAAGGATCTCACAGGAATGCCGCTGGTCTCCTTACTGGACGTTCTCCATCATCTTCAGAAACTCTGAAGGGACAAATGAAAAGATGTCATTTAAGCAGTCCACCCGTTTTAATTAGGTAACACTCACAGCACGTCGCTGAAGCCGGTGGGTTAGGTAAAAATGATAAATATCACAATGTTAACGCTCGTCGCCTTGAAGGGTCGTTTGTGCGCTTTGGAGTAAAAATGATTCTCCACATAGAAACATCTAGAACAGCGGCGCTTAGCAGGCAGCCCGCGGGCCGGTCCGGCCCATAAGCCTCCTCTTTGTGCCCCGTGGACCGGACCTTTGACTCTGTTACCATGGTAACAGGATGATTGTCGGAGTGCCTGGAGAGAACCCAAGCATGCACAGGGAGAGCACGCAAACTCCATGCAGAAAGATCCCAGGCCGGGAAGCGAACCCAGAACCTTCTCGCTGCAAGGCAACAGCTCTAACCACTGCGCCACTGCGCAGCCCTAGAAGAATCTCCCTTTTCCCGTCTTCAGATCTGTGATGAGATATTATTAGTAAATCTGATTTCTTCTGTAAAACAACTTCATCTAAATAGTTTAAGAAAATCTGCCTCGTACAAGAAACATGTTATTTTTATTTGGACTGATCCAAACCTTTCTTATTTACACTGTTTTAATCCTTAATCCGGTTTGATGTTTGTCGGCAGATTACACGTATGCTGATGTAAAGGAACACATCAGCTCTGCTGCTGGATATTCACCCTGACATAGAAGGGGTTAGGAGCTAAAGGATGAAACTTAAAGGGGTCCTGTAACATTTTATTTAACTGAAACTTTTCTTTAAGCCTCTTTAACGCACAAGACTCTGTTGGGGCTCACAACGACCCAGAAGCCCTACAATGGAAAGGTTTGCCCCGCCCACTTGGCCTGTACATGAATGTTGAATGAGCTGCATCCTGATTGGCCAGTTTACCCCAAAGGCTCTATGATGCTGCCTGAAGCACCATGTCCAGGAACTCAATAATTCATCCAGACTCTGGATTTTCCCAGCATTCCGGAACGTTCCCTGTGTAAGGAGCAGAAACCAGTTCTGACTGCCCTGTTAGCTCTGCTAGTAACTGCCTGCCTCCTGGAATCTCCTTTAGGGAGACGCGGCAAACCTTCTGACGACAGCATGTGCCATGCTGGTGCAGTAGGACGGACACAGGTGAGACAGGTGTCTCCTCCTATACCACCCATGAAACTGACCCCACTGGAAAGTGCTCCTTTAGTTCTGCTGACCAGTCCAATTTTACATTTAGCCATTAAGCTGGCTAACGAACAACAGGTCTAGGTCATGTTTATTCGAAGCTTCATGGACACGATATCAAATCTGAGCCGAAGCTCTTAGTGAAAACAAAACCTCCCCAGTTTGACTCCACCCTCCCCCCCACACTGTTACTAATTACAAACGCCACCTCACCATCAAAATCAATCTTTCCATCTTTGTTTGAGTCCGATTCACCAAACATCTCATCAATGTCTTCCTCTGAGACCTGCTCTCCGGTGAGATGGAGGATGTCTCCGAACTCCTCCCGGTCTATAAAGCCGTCTCCGTTTCTGCAGATGTGGGAAAACAAAACAGTAGCTAGTTTACCATTTCTGTCATTTCACCAAATTTAAACAAACTCCTCTGACTTTAGTGTAAAAATAAAACGAGCCCTCAAATAAGCTCGAGGCAGAAGGCGCCACATATAAGTTATCCACTTATGTGACATGTTCATTTACGACAGCCGAGTCATCTACTACAGAAGTAAATAATAATACATCAAACTTATATAGCGCTTGTTTAGGACACTCAAAGACACTTTCATGTGATGGTGAGCTACTACGTAGCCACAGCCACCCTGGGGCGGTCTAACAGAGGCAAGGCTGCTATTTGGTGCCATCGGCCCCTCTGACCACCTCCAACGCAGGTAAGTTGGGTGAGGCGTCTTGCCCAAGGACACAACAGCAGAATACCTCTAGCGGAGCTGGAATCGAACCCATGACCCTCCGATCATGAGGCAACCCGCTCTACCACCTGAGCTACTGCTGCCCCATAAAAGTCGAATGGTTTATTTTGAGAAGGCCGGCGCTTAAACGTTGGCTCATTATTCATCTGTTACAGTTAAAAGTTTCATATTTCTGATGTTTCTGAGCTCCAGTTTAACGTTTCTTTATGTTTTTAGAAGATTTATATGGATTTGTTCAAACGTGTGCGATGATGTCACAAACAATTTCAATTTCACACAGTTTGAGGTTTAATTTTAACCTAAAATTGATGAGCTGCTGAATCAGGTGTGTTGGAGCAGGAATTGGACACCGCTGGCCTGGGTACTGTCAGGAAGTGGAAGACGTGTGTATGCGGTTACCTTGGTGATAATAATAAACCACTAGCAGGAGATTTAACATTTCTTCTGATCTCAATTCTCTTTACACTTCTCATATATTGTAATATTGGCATCCAAAATAATTTTGGGCATCAAAATCAAATCAGCAAACATCAAAAATCCTTACAAAGGTTTTCTGAAAACGTAGAAAACTAAATTTTACTATTTTACAATTTTGAATTACAAGAAAGAAAGTGCTATTACTGTGTTTCGTGGCTTGGAAGTTAAAGGCTTAAGACTAAAAAAACCTTTTTCAATTATAAGTTTTGGTGAAATGTTAATGAAGCGATGGCTAAGTCATATTTGCAGCCCAGTTTTACATCAGTGTGGAGTTTCGTACTTGTCAAAAATACGGAAGCATTCTGAAAGTTCCTCTTCACTCTTTCCAGCCTGGTCCTCCTTCAGCTGTTGGACCATCATAACCAAGAACTCCTCGAAGTCGATGGTGCCGCTCCCTTAGGCGGAAAAGAGTCCGTCAGAGTCCCAGCTCTACCAAAAAATACTCGGCTATAATGTCAATCTTGTTTTTTCATAAAATGCATTTTCTGGTTAGTTTAGAATGTGGAAGCAAAAATAGTTCATGTTTAACTTGGTTGTCATGATTTGAAGTTGCAACATGTAAGAACGAAGTAAGTAAGACATTAGCGGTCAACTTTTGTTACTATCTCACTCCCGTTCTGAGTTTCATGGCTGTTGCCAGTTAAGCCTAGCTTAAACATCTCCGCTAGCACGTTCACACACACACACACACACACACACACACACACACACACACACACACACACACACACACACACACACAAATTGACAGAGATGCTTTCCTTCTCCTCCGTTGGTGTGTCAGTAGGACAGAGAAGGATAAACTAGGCTCTACGGATCAGCACCAGAAGATTATAGATAACAACCAGATACGAGTCATACACAGTAGGTTGATGAGTAGATCCGATGTTAACACTCTTGTTTTATGATAGGGAGCACTTACTACACTTATTATGGTAATACGATAATATTTCTACGGCATTACTAGAAGCGTGGTTGTTTGCCATCTTGCTGTTAGCTTGCTGTCGTAGTTCTGAACGACACATTAAAGGAAGAAAAACGCAATTTGATTCTAATTCACTGTTAGCATTGTTAGCTCAACATTAGCCTCTAGCCTGCTTCATCCAATAATAGAGTAAAACAAAAAGATGCTGTGGCTTCTTGTAACTTCTGGGCCACTCCTGTTTACTGGCTTCAGTTTCTAAACAACTCTGGAGCTTTTTGCCTGCAGCGCTGCAGCGTTAGCTCAGCGCTGACTCAGCTACCTCGCAAGCTCACTGATTGTAAACAGTAACTACGTCCCTCGTTTGCCTTTTTGAAAGGAGAAAAACTGTAAACGATGATGCTGTTTTGCTTTTTACCTTTAACCCCCCAAAATGTTTGCTTTTATTGCACACGCAACTGTAAAAATGAGGCAGAACAAGAAAAGGATGCAATACTCGATTTCATATGTCGATAATTGTGTGGTGTTAGGCTGTAATCTAAGCTGGATGTAAAAGGTTTACCATCTTCATCCACCTCCTCGATGATGGCGTCCAACTCCTCTCTTGATGGATTCTGGCCCAACATCCTCATCACAGTGCCCAGCTCCTTGGTGCTGATGTCACCGCCTCCATCCGTGTCAAACATGTCGAAGGCGGCTTTGAACTCTAAGGGAGAAAAAGCCAAACTAATTCACGATTTCTCTCATCTTTATTCTCATTTTTACAAATACTGGATAATACTACTTCTGGGCTCGGTGTCATCCCGTGGAGCTGATCAGTGTAACGTTACAACGCCTGGTGGTTTCTTTGGACCACCGTGACCTTGTAAAGGGGGGAGATGTAACATTACGAAAATGGCCCGATTTTGAGACACACGGGTAGGGATGGGTACCTTTGACATTTGAATCGATTCGGTACTAATTCCCGGTACCTAGGAATCGATACCGGTACTTTACGGTACCAATTTTAGATACTTTTGAGTGTTTAACCCTTTGGTGCATAATGGTCACTACAGTGGACAGGTACTCAAAATTGTTATTTATTTGTTTTTGCTATTAAGCACAGCAGTTGAAGACTTTATTGCATTTGAGCCCCTCCATTTGGACTTCAGTAAGCCAAGCCAACATATTTCATGCTCAGAATGCACGCTGTCCACTGAGGTGGACATGTAATACATAATTTATAAATTATAAAATTTTACAAAAAATATTTGTTGAAATTTGTTTCATTCACACCTAAAGATGAATGAAAAAAATTGTTAAAAAAATCATGGTTGAAGATTTCATAATTCATGCATCAAAGGGTTAATATTTTAATTCTCTTTTATAATTAAATGCATATTTTTCTCAATATATAGCCATATTTGATATCATGATAAATAACATTCAACTGTTTGTATTTTAACATTGTCCTTGTAGTTCTATAAGCTGATAATTAAACTGAAGCAAACATCTTTACTGTGAACTAAATTTACTGTGTATCTTCATTCCTTTGGCCGTCCTTTTTCATTTGATTTTTCCTACTGGGAAGTTAGAATTTCCGAGGAGAAAGCGAACGCACCATTAGCTGATAACAATGGTAGCAATGGAAGCTAACATACCAAGATAACGTTATCTTAAACAGTTTATTTAACTGCTGGAGCAGATTAAAACGATGATGCATCACACTTAGATCGTTGTCGCTGGTTTCATCTTCACCCAATCACCTGTCGCATTTAGTAAAGTGAAGCCAAACTTTAGAGCGCGTTCATGTTCTTCTAGCCGGAAATTCGGAATTCCGAGGAGAAAGCGAACGCACCATTAGCGGAACGGAAGCTAACATATCAAGCTAACATTATCTTAAACATTTTAATTACCTACCGGAGCAGATTAAGATGAGGATGTCTCACTTAGATCGTTGTCGCTGGTTTCATCATCACCCAGTTACCCATCACATTTAGTGAAGTGGACCCAAGCTTTAGCGTGCGTTCTTTCTACCATGCTGCTCTGTTTACAACTCGCTCGCAGGGACCGACGACATAACGCTCTTGCGCATGCACAGCTGTCTAGGCAAGTTCTCGTTATGAAGGACGGGTACCGAAACGAGGCACCGTTTCAAATTAAGTGAATCGGTGCTCTTACGGTTCAATGGAATTCGGTCGGTACCTTAAAAAGTACCGAATTCGGTACCCATCGCTACCCACAGGTCAGATCCACAGCCGGGTCAACTTACCGTGGCTACGACTCCAATCTACAATATTTTCCCTCACAGGAGACTGAAAGTCTGCACGTACCATCCCTTTAATCTGCAACTGTCAGCCGTGTCTGACTGCTATCCCATTCACAGCAGGAAGAGGACATATCCAAGATTAAAAGAATCAGTGCAATAAACTTGTTTACTGTCAATTACAATGGTCACAAATAATCATTAAGGTTCATTATAACCGTGTTTAATTACTGCAATGAATTATTATTCTTTGGTTAATTTATTACTTATAATAATTATAATATAATGAAATGTTTTTGATGATATATGTTTAGCATGTTTACTTGACGAGGTCATCACATTTGCACTCACACAAGGACAAAGTAAGGTAAAAGTTAAACGCATGACACATAATTAACCTTTGACCCAGTTCAGAGCCTCCGAATCAAAGAAGGCGTGTTTCTGAGATTCTTGGTAATATTCCTCAAAATTGTCAACGTTTGGTTGGCTACCAATTCATAACATCATGACATTAAAACCAGATTAGTCTGGTTTTAGGTCAGTTGGAGGGTTCTAGAGAAAAGCTTCAGACCGGCCATCTGGAGCAGAACCTCTTTAACCAGCAAAGATTTCGACACGTCGTAAAAACCTTTGGAAACCTTTTTCGCGCCTGCGAAGCTGATGCAACAAGACAGTACCTGCAGAACAAAGCTGACGCAAAACTCCTTCAGAGTTATTTTTAAGATGCTCGGTTTCGTCCGTCTGCCGTGACCCGAGACATCTCTGGACTGAAAGGATCGGTACCTCGGTACTCTACAGCCCTCCGGTGCCAGCCACCAAGAGGGTCTCTGAATCTGGGTAATGTAGACACACAGATAGTGTCTGGATGTGGGTTTTGATAAGATTTAACTTCATAGCTTAAAACAAACCAAATTCTTTTATATCCAGAACTCAGCTCTCCGAGATACGGAAGTTCTGACTACATTATAGCTACACATAGGTTCCAGACACCACCTTTTAGCTCCATCCACTCACAATTTGTCAAGTTTTAATTGTTTGTAAAATAAATTCATGTTTTGTTTATGAACCTGACTGTTTCTTGAATCAAAATGAAGTGTGTACGATCCCCTAATGAGCAAAGAATCCTAGAATCTTCTGATTAAATACAATAAAGACCAAGCAGGTTGATATTCTATATTTAAATAGAGTATCACAGCTTATTGGTCACAGGTTGAGTGCTCTTCTCCCTGTACACCAACAGCTGCACCTCCAAGCATGAGTCTGTCAAACTAATGAAGTTTGCTGACGACACCACCATCAGCGGACTCATCTCTGATGGGGATGAGTCCGCTTACAGAATGGAGGCTGAACGGCTGGAGTCCTGGTGCAGCCACAACAACCTGGTGCTAAACACCCAGAAGACAGCGGAGGTTGTTGTGGACTTTAGGCAACCCCCCTCTCCCCAAACCTGTCCGACACTCCCATCATGATGGTGGACTCGTGTCGCTTCCTGGGCACCACCATCACCCAGGACCTCAAATGGGAGCCCACCATCACCACCATCAGAAAAAAGGCCCAGCAGAGGATGTACTTCCTGAGGCAGTTGAAGAAATTCAACCTATCACCACAGTCGATGAGGCGGTTCTACACCGCTATCATCGGTCCATCCTCACCTCCTCCATCACCGTGTGGTACGCGGGAGCTACCACCAGGGAAAAGAAGAGGCTGCAGCGTGTCGTGCGCTCTGCAGAGAAGGTCACTGGCTGCAAACTCCCCTCCATACAGGATCTGTACACCTCTAGGACATTGAGGCGTGCAGGTCGGATAACAGCTGACTCGTGTCACCCTGGACACGGTCTCTTCGACTCGCTCCCATCTGGCAGAAGGCTCAGATCCATTCGGACCAGAACCTCTCACCACAAAACCAGTTTCTTCCCCTCTGCAGTTGGACTTTTGAACGAAAATCCTAGGGCAGCCCACTCAAGTCGATTGGTCCCAGTCACATGACCCGATGCTGTTCTTGAAAAACACTCAGATTAGTACCTACACGGGGTAGATAGCTGCTTCTGTAATTCTTGCCACTTTTTACATGAATAATTTTATCATGAGTGTTTTATTACTTCCTATATTTGCTTATCTCTTAATTAATTAATTAATTAATTAATTAATTAATTAATTTTTTCTTTCTTACCTTCTGCACCAAATACTGCAGCAGCTTCCTAATGTTGTGACTTGGCACACATATGGCAATAAAAACTTCTGATTCTGAATAATATATTGAGCTCTTAAACCAGTTTATCTAACGCAACATCAGTTTCTGAACCACGAGTCGCTCTCTACTGAGACTCTTCTGCAAAGTGACAGATGATGTTTTTCTCTCGGTTTTCTGAGAAAGCGAGGCCTTTTCTCAGCTGCAGCTGCTGACGCGTGAGCATATGGAACACCTGCTCCACCTTTCTCACGCAGAGCGACAGGAGCGCATCTCGTTTCTGACCACAGTCTAACATGAAACCCTTTGTTTTTTAACATTTAGGACCGAGGATTTTCCTAAACCGAAGTGAACCAATACCAAAATGTGTTCCTTTCCCCTAAAGAAAAGAAAAGCAGAAGGATTTTAGGTAACATCGCATCCCGTCACTTATCAGGCAAATTAAAATTTCACAACTACTTCAATTTAAGTTGTGGCAAACGAATGAAAACATCACAAACGTTTTCCCTCTGATCTGTCATAATCTGAGTGAGAGGAGACGTATCTGAATGCATGGCATGTAACGTTTGTGTCATCAAAAGTGCAAAAACCCGTGCTGATAATTTCAGATATTACACTTTAATGCTGACATCGGGCCATGATGATGGCAGGCCGATATTATCCGACACACGACTCGTCAGCCCTTCATCCCGTCATCATGAGATTAGAGACAATGGTTGTATTTGTGGGTTGTGCAACCCGTATGGGTTTAGCCCTGCCGCACGTGTAACAGGAACCCTGACGTGAGTTATGTAGGGTTAGTGCAGAAACTTACCGGATATCATCTCCTCCGTCAGGAAGGAGCGGGCGTCGGTTTGGGCGTCAGTGGGCTGAGGAGGAGGTCAGAAGAATGGGAAGAAAGAGAGAAATTACAGGAAATTAGAGTTTTAAATACAGACAAGAAACCAACTCATTAGCTGCACTTTGCTATACTGTGAGGTGGGAAACAACAAAAACAAATGAAAACAGTTTCTATCACTGGCCCTTAAGCAAGTTAAGCACATTTAAAAAGGTGATTTTCGGGGTTGTGTGAGACAGAGCTATTGTTGAAGTAACAGCCAAGGTTTGGAAATAGGTTCGTTTAAATTAGATGTCAAAGTTAATCCTCCACCAGCTGCTGGAGGCGGTTCCTGAAGCGGAGCGCAAAAACTAGGAAACACAAAACAGACATTTAAAGACAACATCAGGTGTTTTGTCACCGTTAAGTGAGAAAGATCTACGGAAATGTTATTTATTAAAGTTATTTTAAATGAAGAATGTCCACCTACCCGACACCTCTTTCTACACATTAAAACGTGACTTTTTCCACTGGTTATTTTTATTGCATCACATTTTTCCATTTTTCTGCAAAGCAAACATGAAAGGCTTTTTCATCCCTTCGACTGCCAAGTAGCTCATTTTATCCCAATGGTCCCGTTACCATGAAGAAACCCTAACCCTGAACAAAAAATTCTAAAAAATGTGCGAAACCAATAATATTCATATTCATAATAATAATAATAATAATAATAACAACAATAAAAAATTAATGATAATAACAATAATAACAACAATAATAATAATAATTATTATTATTATTATGACAATAATAATAACAATAATACTATTCCTAATATTATTAATAATAATTATTATAATAATAATAACAATAATGATAACAATAACAAGAATAATAATAATCATAATAATAGCAATAATAATAATAATAATCATCATCATCATCATCATCATCATCATAATTAGCTTTTTGTTTTAGTTAAAAAAAACTGAAGATTTTCAGCAGTGACTGATTTCTTGTTCAGCCCATAAAGCGGTTGGACTGTGTTAGGTCACACAAACTCAGCCATTAGTTTACTTTGAGTCTATTTTTAAGGCGAGACTCGGGGGAGGATTTGGGAGGGATTTTCTCAAGGTGACCGTCCTAAATTAGAACCGGTGGAAAAGACGGGGCGCTTTTCTCAGCTGTTTCTTCCGCTTCACAACCTCCAGCTCTAGTCAGCCAGGAAACAAATCGGGGCTTCAAGGCAGACCCAAAGATGGGACGGGTTAGTTAGAATTGTCAGCATCTGGTTAGCAGCTTCATCCGCGGGTTAACCAAAGAAACAAAAAGCACCAGATGCAATCCAACGTTTCCCAGCAGGACAAACTCCCTCCTCTGTGAGTTGATCCTTTTCAGGAGAAACCTAATCCAACGTTATCATTCAGACAGTTCCATCCTTCCCAGCTTTGGGGTTCTTACCATGGCGGCGGGTTGTTCTGCGTTAAGGAACGTCCCCCTTCTGCACAGATCAGGTAGAACTGTTCTACTGTTTGTTCTGCTCTATAAGTATCCTTTCTTCCGAGCACGATTGTGCTGACATCCGCCAGGATTGGGCCACAGAATGCTCCACGGATTAAAGCAGGCCAATCAGATCCAACTTTAGTCCGTGCGTTGTCACAATCTCCTGATGGACACCCCCTTGTGTGGCCCCCGCCCCAGTCCCCATTTTTAGATAACAGACAAGCTCTTTGACATTCATTTAAAACACCTGCCAGGCAGTTGGAGGTTATCTCGGCCAAAGATCAGCTGGACACTTCAGGACGGCCCATAACTGCACGGACTGACACCCTCCTGCACCTTGGAGAGTGTCTCAGCCAGTCCGCTCGTAAACCTCTCACTTCCATGTTTTAAACACCGTTATTCAGCTGAAGAGGTGCTTTAAGGAGCATCTGTTTTTCCCGAAAGCTTCTTTTGAGCGGAGGCCACGATTGCCACTTGGAAGGGGAAATGTTAATGAATAATCTGAATATGGAGAAGATAAAAAGAGGAGATCAGCTATTTGATGACAATTAAAAAAAGGACCAAGTACCTTACATTTGTAAGTGACCGTGTCTGAGTGCAGCCAGGCTAATACTCTTCATACTTCAAGTATAATTTAGTCCATTTTGGTTCAACTTAAACATTTGGGGCACTTTTGCACAACAAAGTGCAACAAATGAGCCAACTCTGGGCATCAAACGGATGAAAAGCACGATCTAGTCCAACATGCAGCCAAAGTGTCGTCGTTTTTACTGCGTTTGAAGCATGCAGATGCACAGACTGAAGATGATTATTTACTTTTTCCAACAACATTTTGATGTCAGTTCCTTTTAGGACCAGCTTAGATCTCAGAAAACGAGGCTAAGACGACGCGAGTGTGCATGACGCACCAAACCAAGAAAACTTTTACAATCTATAGAACTGCTTCAGTTTTGGATTCAGTCCCACGGCTACCAGGACTAACTGATGCTAGCAAGAACAACACAGTCAGGGCTACAGACAGAGCATGGAGTATGTGCTGCATGTATAGATGTAGATGAAAGTCAACAGGCACCAGCGTGTTCCTTCAGCAAGAGTTAAACTATTAGAGATGATGAACAAGAGTGGGCCGAACCCACCCGGGTTCTCACAGCAGCAACTTCCCCTCCACCTCCTCAGTCATCACCCACCTTCTCCAGAGCACCGCAGTGCTAGTTCAGCTCCACGCTGCCTAAATGATGTCATCGCCCTCCATCGGGCCTGAGTGACAGCACCAGCTGATGCTCTGCCCAGTCCAAATATTTTCCACAGGGCTTCCCTCCCCTAACCGTGTGAGAGACAAACGTGATGGTCGTGGTGTGTGTGTGTGTGTGTGGGGTGGGGTGGGGTGGGGGGTGGGGGGGGGGTTTGAATTATTAAACAAAGATCACGACAGTTTGATATGAAATGTTTTCGTCTTCTGTTTTTCCTTCATCTCACTCAAGCAGCAGACGTACACACTCTAAGGCTGGAGGGAGGCCTTTGCTCCGCTCCCTTCAGCTTCTGAACGTTCCTCTGTCTCATGGAAGTAGTTGTGACTTTAGAAGTAGGGGACACAACCGGCAAGAGGACTGGGGGGGGGGGGGGGGGGGGGTTGGGGGGGGGGCGTCTTTACAAAAAATATGTACAAACTGTAGCATGGAGGCTCTTTTGTGGGATGCAGGAACTGTCAAGTACACAGGTGGCAGGAACAGCCAATCACACGTTAGCAACAGCAGAGCATATGGACGGTTCTAATGGGAAGCGGGCTTCAACATAAGCGGCTGTTTTCTGCTTGGTCGTTGTGCTCCACCAGTGTATTTAATGTAGCGTAATATTGTTTTGGGATTCGTCCGGCTCTTGGAGAGTACAGTCGCTTTTTTCTTCCTCTCCTCCCTATCCTACCCTCAAGGCTCTTTGTCTGTCTTTGGGTGCACGGCTGCTTCTGCATTTTTTCTGGAAACTGGAAACTGAAATGACTAAAATGGACCTGGTCAGTTGGTCTCTCAACGCGATTGACAAATTTTTTTCAACGATGAGAACGAGAGAAAGGGCTCCCGGGTGCCCCTCTGGGACAGAGCCAGCTGGGTATATCATGGACTCCTGGAAACAGTGGAACCTGATTTGCTTATCTCAGCTGTCTGTAGAGGATTCTGACGACGTCTGGATATTCGTGGTGTTGGTGTCAGGTTTCCAGCTCTTTGGCCTGGGAGGCTTCCTGGCTTACCGGAAAATTAACGAGCTGTCGAGGAATATTGGCTCTTTCCCGGAGCTCAGGGATGGATTACACCGCGCTGTGAATGCACAGACTCATATAATTGTCTAGATGAGTCGTAAGCTTGGAACTTTGGCTGAGATCCATGCATTGGCACAACAGATGGATGCCATCAAGGAGAAAGTGGACGGGTCAGCACGGATTGGGATAGATTAATTTACGCCATTATTGGATTTAGAGGGGTTGAGGACCAACAGAACTTTAAGACAGAGAGGAAATTATCTCTGTCTGGTCCCAAAACAATTTCTTATCTGAATCAGGTGCCCTTGAGCCTGTGAGGCTGCAACGAATACTACCCCTCAGAAGAAATATGGAATGCTGCCGTCGTCATGGCAACTCTGTCTCCCTATCCCAGCCTGGGTGGGACTGCGGGCTGTGAAGGCCGCTGAATCGTTCCAGGAGTCACTGTGCCCTCCAAACCTCAACAACCTCCTCCCTCTATCCAGACTGAGGTGACGTGCACTGCTTATCATGGCTGTAGGAACTGAAGTGGGGAGAGTCCCCAACCCACCACCCCACCTAGTGGACACTTATGTTGTGTAATGTCTGAAGTCTGTTGGATGTCTGTCTGAGGTGTTTTTTTTTTTTTTGCAGAGCAAAGCTGCCCTCCCTGTGGAGGGTAACTCTGAAGTGCCTTTTTTTCCTCCACCTGAACCAATCCTCATGTAACCCCTCTGATCTCTATTAAGGTAGAGCGACTCGGGTTGCGAATGACCACAGTCACCAATTCTTGTCATGTGTCTTTGCCTATGTACGTATGTCTGATCTCAGAATTGTGTGTACTGAAACTCTAATTTCCCTCTGGGATTAATAAAGTATCTTTGAATTTGAATTGAATTGAAAAGTGCAGGGGACAAAAATGTACTTTGGAAAAAGTGGGGGGAGACATGTCCCCTCTGTCCCCCCCAGAACTATGTCCGTGCTCTGTTCCCTTTCCCTGCCCTTCTGGTTTCCTCCTTTCTTCTAACCCCTCCCTTCCCTCAGGGCTGCAATGTGGCAACCTGAGAACAGATAAAGAACCGTGAAAAGTAAAAATCTTCAGCTATGGTTCAGACCCTCTCCATCAAAACTAAGCTTTAAAATATCTAAATAAATTAAAGATAACATCTGAACAGTTGAACAAACATTGAGGCATATGGGCTTGTTTTTGCTAAATAAACTTTAGCAACCAGGTGTCATCTTTTGGCTATTTACGCAGCAGCAGTTTTTCACAATAAGAGTCTTGTACACACCTGCGCCTGAAAAGGTTTGAGTTTTACATTAAAACAGTCCTAATAAACTATTTAGTAAGCTTCAGGAGTTACAAGGTTTCTATTTGAGGTTTACTGTGAAATGTCAAATAGTTTTCTGAGGTCTGCTGACTGTCATGGTCGGTGTCTGTGTCCCGTTTTGTTCCTCATGTGTCCCCTGGTCTTCAGCCCTCCAGATCTCAGGTCCTGTGTTCCTTTAGTCTTCTCCAGTCACCCCTCTGCAGTGTTTATCGTTTCAGCTTTTAATAATAATAATAATAATAATGCATTGAACTTATATAGCACTTTTCTAGACACCCAAAGACGCTTTCACACACTCACATTCACACACTGCTAGTGATGGTAAGCTACTTACTACGTAGCCACAGACACCCTGGGGCGGTCTGACAGAGGCGAGGCTGCCATTTGGCGCCGTCGGCCCCTCTGACCACCACTAACACAGGCAAGTTGGGTGAAGTGTCTTGCCCAAGGACACAACAGCAGGATACCCCTGGCGGGAGCTGGAATCGAACCCATGACCCTCCGATCATGAGGCAACCCGCTCTACTACCTGAGCTACTAGTCCCACCGGTCTTTGTAGTTTTCCTTCCCTTTAGAATATTAGTTGTGTGGTTGCTTTTCTTGTTTTTAGGTTTTACTCTTAGGTCATGTGAGTTCCCTCCCTGATTAAGTATCACTTTCACCTGGTCCTCTCCCCACACACCTGCAGCTAATCTGCCTCCCATTATGCCCCAGTGTATTTAAGCCCTGTCTTGCCTCAGTGTCTTGTCGGCCCATTGTTGTTTGACAGCGTTGTTTTTGGTGCTCTGTGTGAGCTTTGTGGCTTGTCCCAGGTTTTTATGCTCTAAGTGAGCTTTAGTTCTAGTTTTCAGCTTTTGTGCTCCATGTGAGCATCCTGGATGTCAGGACTTTTGGATTTTTGGCTCGCTGCCTTTTGGATAGACTTTTGTTCATCCTGCAATAAAAGGATTTTTACTTTATATCAACTCCTGCCTCTTGTCGTCTGGGTAATCTGCATTTTGGGTCCTAACCATCCCCTCAACGTGACACTGACCCTGATGAGTTTAAATTTATTCAAGTAAAATTAACTCATCAAAAGATTTTTCCTGTAAAATTGATTAATTATTTTTTGACTGAAGGGACTAAAGCTCAAAGTGTTTATTTAAATGCGTTGAATGATTTTTTTTACAGTGTTAAGGAAAGATGACAATCAAAGTTTTATGAAGTATTTCATTCCTAAGCAGTCCAGGCCACACCTTCCTGTATCTAATTAGCACGACTCCCTCACTATAGAGGCTAATGACTCATCAGAGGGGAGGGGTACTCAGAGTAGTTTCTGCTCATTAAACAACAATAGACAGCTACAGCTTATGAGCTCTAAATCAGAATTGACAGAAGTGAATGATGAGAGGCCAAAACGTCTTCAAGAAACCACAGAGACGTCCAGTTGCCGTCATCTGAACCGTTTGGATGACACGACTGAGAACCTTCACCAGTACAAGTATTTTTGTTATAGTTCTTTGAGAAAAGTTTGTATCATCAGCAGTTCTGAGCTGTCCAAGAACCAGAAATTGGTATCGGTGCTGCAAACAGAATCATTATGATCTGAGCTTTTTCAACAATGTTTTTTTCTGATCGATTTTTGCTGTTTGAGTCCGTTTTTCTTTATTCTCAGAGGCACCAAAGTGGTTTAAAAACTTAAATAATCATTTTCAAATGTGACATAATTGCAATTTTTGTTCCATTTTCTCCATTAATTCCTTTCTACTGTGTTAGTGGGCGCCTGCGTGAAGGTTTATTATGGGCGGGCTGTTGGTGCAGGTCATCAAGGTCTAACGGAAACGCTGCGATGAAAACACGCAGAATGGTGAGGACGGCGTTCAGCGCGCGGCGGTCGGATGCATGTCCTGCAGTCTTTTGAATTGTTTTGGATCAAAATGTCAAACATGACCGTGATCCCGGTGGCGGAGGCCTCCAACATCACCTCAGAGTGCGGCTGGTTCAGCCAGGACAACCAGACGGAGGCGCGCGTAATGGCGCGGATGGACTCTGCTGATGCTGAACACATTTTCTACTCATTGATGCCGTTTGGAGCCGCGGCTCCGGTTCTGATCGTTGTTTTTATTGCTCTGAGTATCTGTTCTTTAGTGCTGAACCTGCTGATTCTGTTTAACATCGAGGAGTCTGAGGACCTCTCCTGGCAGCCGCGCTTTGTCCTCTGTAAGAACCTGATTGTGAGTGATGTCCTGCAGACACTCACCTTTGCGTCGGCGGTCATCTACTCACTGGTCCGGCACCAAGCCATGGCGTTTGGCTCCTGGTGTTACATTCAGAACTTTGTGGGCACGGTCACTGTTTTCTGTAGCCTTACCAGCATCACCTCCATGGCTCTGGAGCGCTACTTATACGTGTGTTTTGCGCTCAAGTACACCGTGATTGTTACAGAGGAGAGGGTTCGGACAGCTGTGCTGGCAGTCTGGGTTTATTCAGTCTCCATGGGTCTCGTCAGCACGAGCATGCTGCTGTACAAAGGAAGGGAAGTGGAGACTGAGCCATACACCATGGGACTGATGTGTGAGCCGGACACGATGGAGCAGCACCTGGGCTTCCCTCGCGCTCATTCCATCTTTCGCAAAGCGTTTGGCAGCATCACTCTGCTGATGTGCTTGCTGGCCCACACCTTCTCCTACTTCAGGATGTACCAGAACGCGAGCAACGCAGTGGTGCCTTTCAACGAGGTGAACAACGCAGCGCGCAAGACGGTGATGTTTTACTGCGGGATGCTGCTCCTGCAGCTGCTGCCGCTGCTCTTTAAGGTCGCCTCGGACGCGCTGTGGGAGTTCAAGGGAACCGATGGGAGGAAGCACTCCTCGTGGTTTAACTCGGGCTGCACCCCATCGGGTATCGCGGCGGTGTTTCACGTGTCCCTGCTCGTCATGCTTTTGGTGCCACCGTGCGTAAACCCGCTGGTGTATGGACTGAGGAACGCGGAGATTCGCAAAGCGATGGCCAAACTGTGGCGGAGGCGCGCAGAGAACAGAATCATGCACGAGCCTCCAAGAGACGCGATGCGGCTCAGGAACGTTGCGCAGCATCAGTACCTGGCTGAGGCGGCTTAGGCTTGGTTTAGTCGCACGTGCACCGTGCGTAAAATTAATAGTCTGATCTCGAAATGTGCTAAATTGTTATAGCAGCGGAAATCAGGAAAAGCCAACAAAAGGCTGTTTTGTCTGTTTACAACAAAGTTTTTGATAATCACGCACTGCACAAATATTGAACACTTTCTGATGCAAACGCGTGCCGTGATGCAACGTGGCTTGCCTCCGACGCACAACATGAACGTGAGACTCTGGATTCTGATGTCAAACCACTCCGAGACAACCGTTACTTTAATTTTGCTGCGATGTGACAGAAGTTTGCTTGTAAAACTCTCTAATTGTCCCGTTTTATGTGACTTGAAGTGAATGTTGTGACATCAGCTATGCACGCTTTTGGGATGATTGTCAAACGTTTATTTTGTTTATTTGTGTACATATAAACATGTAATATATGACCATGTTAGCCCATAATTGAACGAAATCACATCTATTTTTCTGTCAATTTTCAAAATAAGAGCTTAAAAGTTTAGGTTTGCTTTTAAAATATTTTTGCTGCAAAAAAGACATTGTGTGAGCGCGTGCGTGTGTGCGTGTGTGTGTGTGTGTTTGCATTGCCTTGATTAAAATTATTGTCCATTAAATGTTTCTTTCAAACATTCAGAGAATTAAGATTTTAGTGTTGAAACAACGAACACTGAGAATAAAGTTTACTGAAAAAACAAAACAATAAATCATTTAACCCTCCCACTGTCCTATTGGGTGACCCCAGCAGGAAAGTTGACCTTTGAGCAAGTTTATCCCTGGAGTCGGGAGTGAGCTCCACCTCACCCCTGCCACACGGACCTCAACCCTGCTCAAAGGTCAACTTTCCTGGTAGGGTCAATAGGACAGTGGGAGGGTTAAAAACATGAAAAATTATGATGTTGTCTGCTGTTTCCTGCATTTTCCAAAAAAAAAAAAAAAAAAAAAAAAAGCCAGGACATTTGGGTTTTGGTCAACTGAGTCATCTTTACAATAAATCTTTTATTGTGAAAACTTTCGATCAACCAATCAGAACACAGCCCACTAGACGCTTCAGGGGACACAATCACAAGTCGTCTCCGTCTACAAACACATGTAGACCAGTCTGTACCAGTCTGTTGTCCTGTACCCTATGCTGAAGCGCAGCTCCACAGCTCCACAGCTCCACAGCCAGGGCCCAAGTCATACTACTGGGCACTTGCACACAGCTCCAACCACAAGCCCGGCTCCAGAGCTGGACTCTGGCAACCCTCTGGACGAGGAAGTCTTTAACTATGTCACAGATCTTCCCATCAGGTTCTTCCTGCAGTGCGACTTTTTCAGTCCGTCTCACTTGATATGATTCATATGTGATGTGCAGCACTGCAGTCTTCCCCACAAGAGGTCTAACATTAAGGACTGTGACCACATTCTAATGGAATATATATATATATATATATATATATATATATATATATTTATATATAATTAAGTATATAAAGTAGTCTGAATGCGGACATGTAGCACGTCTGCGCTGTCTCCTAAAACGCCCAGTGAGTGGTGACAGAAGGCTGCTCAGATCCCCAACCCTGTGTCACACGTGCCGGCGAATGGAGCGGAGATGAAGTGAGGATCCAACGCGGGTGAGGAAACCAGGCAGACAGGTAGGAACGTTTGATAAGTCTTTAATAAGAGGCACGCAGGACAATGAAACAATGATCCAACAAACTACAGAGAACTGAAGGGGTTTAAATACAGGAGGGTAGGGAGCTTGGGTGATTGAGAAAACGAGAGGCCGGTGGGAGCAATTAACGAGACACAAGGCTGAACCAAAACAGGGAGACAGGACAGGGTGTGACACCCTGATCCTCAGGGCACACTGTACTCCATGTTTTCCATGTTGCCCTTGTAAACACCAGTGTTTCACTGCTGCCACACACCTGACTTAAATAAATACGCGATTAACAGGTATCTGCAGCACTTGGCGTCCTCCTGAGGGGCCGACGTAAATCATGCGGGTCAGTGCACCGTGAGGACCGGGGTTGGGAAATACTGACTGAGGGGAGTTTTCCTCTCCACTGTCCCTACATGCTTGCTGTGGATGGGGATTGCAATCTGCTGGGTTCCTTATGTCTCGTTTCTTATCTTGTTGTGGGTTCTCAATAATGACACCATTACTTGAAGAGAAGGTACTTTATCGAACTCAGGCTCACATGCAACAACCAAGCTTCGCCATTACTGTCCCAGACCGCGGGTCATCTCCGTCCCCTTGGCTCCCCCTACCGTCTAGGAGTATTAACAACATAACCCATGATCCTAAGCAAATAATGATTTGCTGTTCAAGCGTCTTCAAGCAACTCAAAGAAGTCCAGACGCTTTTCTTTCAAAGCTCCTTAGACTACAATGACCTGGATGACTGAGAACCTTCACAGACATGTTATCATTACATCTTCCTTTTTTCTTTTTTAAAACAATAAGTTAACATACTGACTTACACAAACATAACCAGCCTCTAATTATGTGTTATTAGTTAAACCAGGCTTTGGTAAAGTAATGTTAACAACATAACTAGCTTTCAACAGTTATGACCCATTCAACCCCAAGAACCAAACACGGTGAAACTTACAGAGATAACGTAACATCATCTTCCAAACCACACGTCAACACATTACAGCTGTTCAATCAGTCTCATAGGTGGCTTCACTTGTCTGACAGATCTTCTCGGTGTTTGTACATGTGCATGTGCAGATGTTACAGGTGACAGTGTCTCATTTGTGTGTTGTGGTTGATCAGCAGCCTCCAACCTCTGCTCCACTACCACTGGTCCCTTAAGAAGATCTCTGCGATTTCTTCCCAGCACAGCTCCGTCTTCAGTCTGAATGATGAATGATCGAGGTTGATCATTCCGTAGAACTGTCGCTTTCTGCGCCCATGTGCTGGTTTTGTCTTTGAATCTCACCTGATCCCCAGCATGCAGTTCAGGCAAATTCTTTGTTCCTCTATCATAGTAGAACTTCTGCTTCAATTTTTGTTGCTCCTTAAACTTCTTCACGCCGTTTCCCTCACGTGTTTTAAGCAGATTATCCTGAATGGGCAAGTTTGATCTCAGGCGTCGTCCCATACGCAGCTGAGCTGGCGACATACCACACTCAAGTGGCGTTGTGCGGTATACGAGCAGACTTTGGTAGAAGTCAGCACCACTGTCATCTTACTCATCAGCCTCTTCACTATTTGGGCGGACTTTTCCACTAGTCCATTAGACTGCGGGTAATGCGGGCTTGACGTCGTGTGAACAAAGTCCCATTCTTTGGCAAACTGTCCAAACCTCATATTGGAGAATTGTGGTCCATTGTCTGTGAACACTTCACTTGGCACCCCATGTCGTGCAAACACGGCTTTCATAGAGGTGATTACAGCCTCTGCTGTTGTTGTTTGCAGTTTACATACTTCTGGATACAAAGAGTAGTAGTCTGTGACCACAATATAGTCTTTCCTCCAGACACAAAGAGGTCCGCCCCCACCTTCTGATATGGTCGGTCTGGCAATGGGTGTGGCTTTAGTGGCTCAGCAGGATTGCTTGCTTGATATGTCAGACATGTTGAACAGCTCGACACTTCATTTGTCACGTCCTGATTAATCCGTGGCCAGTACATCACCTCACGTGCTCTCCTTTTACATTTTTCCATGTCTAGATGCCCTGCATGTATCTTTTTGAGCATCTCTCTTCGCAGGCTCTTTGGGATAACAATTTTACTTCCCTTGAACACCACATCATCCACTACAGACAATTCTGCTCTGCAGTTCCAATACTCTTGAAGAACAGGTGAGCAGCTTTGCTTACAGCTGGGCCATCCATCTACGATAGTCTTGCACAGTGCTTGTAATGTTCCATCTTTGCTTGTCTCTGTTCTTATGAGCTCCATCTTCCCTCCTGCAACGGGAAGTGCACCTGTGACCATGCTCACATATGCTCTCACATCATCATCCATCGTGGTGTTTGCTGGCACATTTGGATCAACAGCTCTGGATAATGTGTCAGCTGTGTACATCAGCTTGCCAGGCGTGTACATCACGTCTAGTGTGTAACGTTGCAGCCGGATCATCATTTTTTGGATTCTCAGCGGACAGTCATTTAGTGGTTTTTTGAACAATGCTATCAGCGGCTTGTGATCAGTTTCAACACTGACGGCCTGCCCGGACACAAACTGGTGAAATCTCTCACAGGCGTATGTTATGCTTAGCAGTTCTTTTTCAATCTGTGCATATCTCGTCTCTGCATCTGTCATGGATCGCGATGCATAGGCAACAGGCTGCCACTCATCATACTTCTGCAACAGAACAGCTCCAAGCCCGCTCTGTGATGCATCTGATGAGATCTTAATAGGCCTCATTGGATCATAAAATGTCAGAACTGGTTCCTTCGTAAGCAAATCTTTCAAGTCACGCCATGCTTTCTCGTGTTCATGATTCCACTCCCATTTGAGGCTCTTTTCCGTTAGCTGTCTCAGTGGCGCCATCTTTTCCGAGAGATTGGGTATGAATTTCCCCATGTAATTCACCATGCCATTAAATCTCTGCACATCTTTCTTGCATTTCGGCCTCGGCATGTTTTCAATTGCAGCCGCCTTTTGAGGATCTGGTCTGATGCCTTCACTGCTCAGAATATCTCCAACGAATGTCAGTTCGTTCGCGCCCAGCTGACATTTCTCCTTATTCAGCTTCAGATTGGCTCTTCTGGTTGCTTCAAGAACATTTCTCAGTCTCAGGTCATGTTCAGCTTTTGTGCTACCCCACACAGTGATGTCATCCATTGACGTGTCGACTCCTTCCAGGTGTTCATAGATCATGTGTATCGTCTTGTGATACACTTCCAGTGCTGAGGCAAGGCCAAACGGCAGTCGCCAGAATCTGTACCTGCCAAATGGGCTGTTGAACGTGCAGTTTCGAACTTGCTTCGTCCAGCTTCAGTTGCCAAAATCCTGATGAAGCGTCTAGCTTGCTAAAGTACTTCGCTTTTGCAAACTGTGACATGATCTCTACTCTTGTAGGCAGTTTGAAATGTTCTCTCCTTATTGCTCTATTCAGGTCTCTAGGATCCATGCAAACCCTGAGCTTTCCCGTCTTTTTCTCCACAATAACAAGAGAACTCACCCACTCCGTTGGTTCATCAACATTTTCAATCACTCCCAGGTTTTCCATCCTGTCCAACTCGGCTTTTAGTGGCTTTTGTAGAGCAAATGGTACTTTGCGGCACGGATGAATGACTGGTTTAACCCTTTCATCAACTCTGATTGTGTGTTCTCCAGCAAGGCAACCAAGTCCCTGAAACAGGTCACCACATTCCTTCATCAACTCATTATAGTCCATGTCATCATCAGTTTCCACGACGAGCACTCTTTTCACTAGTTTCAGACTCTCACAGGCATGTAACCCTAGTATGGGCTGCACATTCTTTGGCACCACAGTGAACGTTAGCGTGTGCTCCTCTTCCTTGTGTGTCACTTTAACCATGCATTTTCCTTTTACAGGTATTTCTGAGCCTGAATATCCACTCACTTTCACCGACGTAGCATGCATTTTGGGTCTAGGTCTGATTCTCTTGAATTCTGCTTCAGATATGACATTCACTTGAGCTCCAGTATCCAGCTTGACTTTCATGAGTGTGTCATTTACTTTGAGAGTCATTATCCAGTCCTTTCCTCCTGTTTTATTGTCTGTCACTGCAGCTACGTAGAGTTCCTCTGTGTCGTCTTCATCCACAGTATGAACTGAACTTTGTTTTTGGGTTGGAACTTTGCAGCACCTAGCATAATGTTTTTTTGTTTGTTACAAATATTGCATCTTTTCCCATATGCCGGACATTTTTTTAGGAGGATGTTGCATCCCGCAGCGACCACAAGTCTTTTCCTTTCTGTCCCTGTTCGCTGGCAATTTTAATTGCAGTTTCACTTCAGCAGCAGCACTCTCTTTTTTGACCCTGTGTGTGTTCTTTTTTGCAGCATCCACTCTGCAGCTGTCACTCAGCAGTTCTTTGGCTTGTGCCCTCACTGTTTCAGCTGCTCTGCACAGTGTTAATGCTTTTTCCAGGTCAAGATTTTCCTCTCAGTAGCCTCTCTCTCAACCCGTTGTTTGGGGTCCCACACACACGTCTGTCTTTTATCAAAGAGTCTGTCAGTCCTCCAAACTCACATGTTTTACTCCTGTCCTGCAGCTCTGTGACGTACTGATCTATTGTCTCCCCTGTCTTCTGTACACATATGAAGAATCTGTGCCTCTCAAACGTCACATTTCTCTTAGGTATGCAGTAAGCCTCAAACTTCTCCATCATTTCATCCAGCTTCATTCCGTCACCATCAGGAAACGTGAAGTTATTATAAACTTCCAGCGCCTCATCACCCACTACATGCAAAAACACTGACGCTTGCTTTTCATCACTTGCCTCGTCGAGTCCAATTGCTGACAGGTACAACGTGAAACGTTGCTTAAATCTTCTCCGATTTTCAGCCACAATTCCAGTCAACTGAAGAATCGGTGGTGGGTGTAAGCCTTCCATGCTCACGTCGCTAGGTCTCTTTTTTCCTTCTTCCCCCTCGGCGAGTTAGCTACACCACGTTCACTGCCACGCTGATCCGTCGGTACAGCTATATAGTTGTCCGTCACCTTTCTTCAAGATCAACTTCTGACACCATGTCTCGTTTCTTATCTTGTTGTGGGTTCTCAATAATGACACCATTACTTGAAGAGAAGGTACTTTATCGAACTCAGGCTCACATGCAACAACCAAGCTTCGCCATTACTGTCCCAGACCGCGGGTCATCTCCGTCCCCACTGGCTCCCCCTACCGTCTAGGAGTATTTACAACATAACCTTATCATTACACCTTATATAAGAAACTTTTAACAAATCGTCATAATGAACTGAACTCAGAGCACTAGTAGGTTCAGTGGGATTGTTTACTTTGTGCAGTGCCTTGAGACGACTCTTGTTGTGTTTTGGCGCTATATAAATAAACTTTTACTGCTTCTTGCATTCAACTCTGCCATATCAACAGGAATAGCTGCGTCTTTAGGAATGTGGTATTGCAGGATTTTCAGTTATGGCTTTGATTTTTCTCTTTAAAAACTCGAGACTGTTATAAAAACATTTCGGCAGAAGAATTGCAGCGCAACCACGTTCCAACGTTCCTTCACAGAAAAGGAAGCCAAACCGCTCAAACAGGTTTGTTGTGCTGTAGTAAGATGTAGAGCTTCATTTAGTTCCAACCAGTTTCAGCAGAAATACTGAAGTTCTCGCTTCCCTCTTCTTTCCATAACAAGTCCAGTAATCTCTGTGCCCCCTTACAGCATCAGCCGTAAAATCGTTGCTGCAGGATTTTATCTGAGAGCACAAAGAGAAGGAGGAAGTCAGCTGTAACAGTGTCTGTAAATGATGCGTTTGTGTTTATGTGTATGAGGAAGAATGAGGAAGTTTCAGGAGTCACAAAAAAGAAAGAGACGATCTCAGGCAGTCAGAACGGTGGACGCTCACATGGACTCAACACCAATGCTTTTACGATTCTCTCCTTTTTAAAAAGCACATGCTTTCCTAACGCTCTAGTTCATCCTTTTTGATCCATTCCTGCATATCTGACTTCTGTTCAGGTTTTTAAAGAAACACCGATGGATTTAGAAGTCGTACCGAAGCGGAAAATTAGCTTAAATTCTGCAAACAGTCTGTCAGGAACAGCGACTCACAGTCACTTTGAGAACAACCTGGTGTTTATCTGCGAGCTTCAGCCTGCGACGGGTTCCCTGCAGACAGGCGGACCTGAAAACTTCAGTGGAAATCACAAGTCGGTGACAGTCACCCTCCCTGCTCAGTGCAGCATCTACCAGCTGCGGCTACGCATCTGTATGAAGGTACGTGAACCCCAAGCGGGACCTTTCTTACATCTGAATCCATGCTAAAGCTCTGCAACGCAGGGGTGCATCCAGAAAATTATCTGTACAGGTGAAGGAGGCCGATAGGTCTAAGCAGGGTGGCGATGCTGGACCTCCTCATGTGAGAATCCCTTCAGTGTAAATGGAGTCAACAAAATAGCCACAAAATGTGGCGTAAGACAAAAAGACGTGTGCATGAATAAAAGTGTTGTGCGCTAAATATAACATAACATGAGACGTGTGATGGCCCATGTCTCCATGCAAAATCAGCCCTTTCAGGACTTTGCACTGACGTCAGCATGTCGTGACTGCCTCGGCAGTGAGTGATGTCACTGTTCAGCGCCAAAAAGCGTCCCCAGTAACATTAAAGGGACATTATGGAAGTCTGACAGCCAAAACATGTATAGAAATAATAAATGTCTTCTTCATACATTCTCCTACAATGCCCTGGTCCTGTAGAATGAGCCCTGGCATTTTTACTGTGATTGCCTGTTTTTCTGTAAAATCACAGAAAAAGAGAGATGCTCGGGTCGAGCAGGCTGCTTCATGCGCGTTCACGCTCAGGCATAGCCCGTAGCATTTGCTATCCGTAGCTTTAGCAGCAGAGAGAGAGGCAGTGCCACTTTGTCGCTGTTTCTAACGCCTAGTGACAAAGCTAGCTACATTTCTGAGGACCTTAGCTACTTTCTGTAGAACTTTCTTCTAGATATTTCCTGCAAATTAGCAACAAAATAGCCATTTTCGCTCCGAACCGTTCTTTGATCGTTGTTTCAGCTGTCATCAAGGATATAAATGTTACAGATACAAAATATGTTACTGGTGCTTTAGCTCACCTGGTAAGACGTGGAACTTTTGTGCCAAAGACCTGGGTTTGATTCTGGGTGTAAACATAGTTTATTTAGAGTTTCTTTTTTACATTAATGGTATATTTTTTTACAGTAAGATGCCCAAATTTTTATTTGAGACTCGCCGAACGGCATTGAATTCACAGATAAAAAAGATGTGGGTTCAACTTTCATTTTGGAACAATTTTTCAAGCAAGGGAAGGAAATGATCTGAGCATGCAGGAGGACTGACCCATCATAAACCTTTGTCGGCTGTGCTGAAGAGAAAGGTACAGAACCAAATTATTTTATTAATTAGCTGCGCATTCTCCTGTCCTCTGTCCCCCCCCCCCCCCCCCCCCCCCCCACACACACACACACAAGGGACTGTCTCAGCTGTTATTTTTGTTAAGGAGTGTGCACGTACAGCTTGCATGCCTCATGCACAAGCCTACTATTGAAGCTGCCATTACGCTTTTGGCCTGAGGGGGCAATCGTGAGCATAAAAATTCAAAAGTCCGTAAAGTCCCTTTAATACCAGTAAAAGTTTAGCTCTGTCAAAGTTCAGCATACCGTGATCCATTTGGAGGACGAGAGCGGCTGCATGATGTAAAATGTGGCTTTCAATGACCGGAAGAAGCTCAGTTTTTTACAGTGCTCTGTGAGACAACAAAGCCTCATGAATGACGCTGTGGTGGGGGACTTCCGTCCTGTTTTCCGCTGTCTGGAGTCTAGTAACGTGATCGGGGATCATTTTCATTTCTTTTGGAAACTGCAAAACCTTAAACTTATATTCAGTATTAAACTTTAAAAGCTGCTAAATTGTTTACCATTTTGGGCCAGATAAGGCATTTTCTTTACAAGTTACAATTAGAATTGATGCAAAATAAACATGGATGTAAAAGTGTCAAAAAAAAATCACACAGTGTTCAGCTTGGGCCAAATCAGACACGCTGCTTTTAACTCATCAGTAAGGATGTAATGGACCGACTGTGATGTGCAGCTGAACCAAGATCCAAGATGGCAAACACGAAATCAGCAGCGACAGAAAAAGGTAAAAAAAGGAGAATTAACCAAAAACAAACTTAAGGTGCAAGAATAAATCAAACAGGAGCATCAACAAAAACAGCTAACAGAGGATCAGAGAACAAAGTGAGAAACAGAAAGTGGGAGACTTGATTACTGAGGGCATGCAGGTGAGTGATTACAGGTGACAGCTGAGGGTGGCAGAGGCAGAGCTAATCAGGGGAGCTGAGGCAACAACGACCTGGAAACACAAAGAGAGAAACCAATAACTCCACCACCAAAGCTAAAGCAGCTTTATTTAAATCTCATTTCATACACAGAGGCATGAGTGCAAGGGAAAAAAACAAACAACCGAAAGACATTTTAACACTAAAATATTTTCAAAAAAGTACAGAAAATCATACAAATGTCCTTTTAAAACGAAATATTATTATGCATGCAAGCTTTTTCAGATGCATTAGTTATTTCTGCAGATATTTAGGCCCTGTCCACACGTAGGCAGGGATCTGCCAAAACGTAGATATTTTTCTACGTTTTGGCCTGTCATCCACATGAAAACGGAGTTTTTTCACACGAAAACGGATCTTTTTAAAAACTCCGGCCAAAGTGAAGATCTGCGTTTTCTCCGTTTTGGGTGTCTGCGTGTGGACAGACAAAACTGGAGTTTTAAGGTCCGCAACGTCACTTTCCGCGACAAAAAAATGCTGACATCACGTGTGCGACCTGTGTTTACACTAGCCGACAGCATGGATGCCCTCAGAGCTGCGCTCGCTTTATCAATTGTCCAAACGCTTTTTGCTTGTTTGTTTTCACAAGCGGAATTTCTGCTCCTTGCGGAAGACCACAGACGAAGGACGAGGTTAAGAACGGGGGAAGTACTGCCGCCTACAGGTCTGGCATGTCCTTAACAACGTATTTATCCGGGTACGTGTGGACAGAGTTTTTTAAACGAGGTGGTGTGGATGCAAGTTTTTGGAGGGGCGGATATTCGTTTAAAAAAAACCCGGCTACGTGTGGACTAGGCCTTAGTCAGGATGTGCTCCTTCTCCTGTCCTGTCTCCCCTCATTGTTTATTGAACTCACCTGCCCTATCTGATCCCCGATTACCCTCATGCATTTAAACCATCTGTTTGTGCTTGACTTTGTCAGATCCTCATCTCCCCACCATTATTCACATTAAGCAGCTCTTTTGCCTGCTGCTCTGCCTCCTGTTAATGCCCACCTGCATTCATAACTAACCTCTTCTGACATTTATAGAAGTGCTTGCTGCTGTGCAGCTCGTTTACAGAGAATTCATGAGAAATAAAAAGAATTTCTGCTGATGAGAGATGGAGATTGGAGATGGCAGCAGTGCACGTTGGACTAGGCTTCATTCAGACTGTTAATAATAATAATAATAATACATTTTATTTAAAAGTGCCTTTCAGGACACCCAAAGGCACTTGATAGGAAAAATACATAAAACACAATGAAGAAAAGAACATAAATAAAACAATTCAAATAAAATCAGAAGTCGTAGGCAGATTTGAACAGGTGTGTCTTGAGTCTGGATTTGAAGAGGGTGAAACTGTCAATATTTCTGATGTCTGGGGGGAGTGAGTTCCAGAGACGGGGAGCAGAGCGGCTGAAAGCTCTGCTCCCCGTGGTAGTGAGACAGGCAGAATTAACAGCAAGATGGAGGGAGGAAGACGGTCTGAGGGAACGGGAGGGGGTGGTAATACTTATAACGTCTGAAGTATGTGGAGGAGAGAGGTTGTGGATGGCTTTGAAGGAGTGGAGGAGAATCTTGAGGACCTGAATTGAACTGGAAGCCAGTGAAGCTGCTGGAGAACTGGGGTGATGTGGTGAAAGGAAGGGGTTCTGGTGATGATACGGGCTGCTGACTTCTGGACCAGTTGAAGTTAATGTTAGTTTGTAAATAAACTATTAGGCTTTTAGACTGTCAACTATATGTAGAAATGGATGAGAAGAATGCGGGCTCGCAATTGGCTGCATGTTTAGATGACGTGAAGGGCTGGCTGGCATCCAACTTCTTAAAGTTAAATGAAAGGAAGACTGAGTTTATTGTTTTTGACCCCCGTAACCACCATGGCTCTCACCCTATTTGTGACCTTTTAACCATCAACCCCAAACAGTGTGTGACAAGTCTCGGGGTAAAGCTGGATGCTGAACTCACAATGGCCCCACAGATAAACTCCATAGTGAGGTCTTGCTTTTATCAGCTTCGCCGCCTGACTCGCCTCAGACAAATCTTGAAACGGAGGCATTTGGAGTCAGTCATCCATGCTTTCATTACCTCTCGCCTGGACTACGCAAACGCCCTCCTAGTTGGTGCTCCGGTCTCTGCCCTGAATCGGCTGCAGGTCGCCCAGAACGCTGCTGCCAGGTTCTTGACGACTACACACTGATGTAGCCATATTAACCCTGTCCTGGTACATCTTCACTGGCTCCCTGTCATTTTCAGAGTACAGTTTAAGTTTATGAACTTTGTATTTAAAGCACTCAACGACCTGGCACCTCCCTATCTCTCTGACCTGCTCACTCCCTATGTGCCCATGCGCATGTTGAGGTCAGCTGACCTCCTGCTGCTGTGCACGCCCCGGATGCGATACAAATTGCGGGGTGAACGAGCATTTGTGCATGCTGCCCCAAACCTGTGGAACTCTCTACCCATCGTAGTTCGGCAGGCTCCATCATTGGTGATTTTTAAATCTCGTTTAAAGACCCACTTCTACGATGTGGCTTTTAGACAGTGACTCGTTTTATTGTTTTATTGTGTTCTTAGTATTCATCATGTTTTATCTGCTTTTGATCGGTGTTTTTATCATCTGTTTTAGTTTCTTAGAATGGCCACGTTTTGTTTTAGCCTCTGCAGCACTTAGGGCAGCTCCCATGCTGCGTTTTAAACGTGCTATATAAATAAACTATGGTATGGTATGGTATGGAACAATCTAGAAGGATGAACATGCTGATTATTTACACTTCAAAACATCTCTTTGAGCTGTTTGTACTCATACCTAATTTTACCCAATAGTTATAAAATACGTCCTGCTGCAGAGTAAAACTCAGCTGAAGAAGTAACTTCCCATCAGGTAGCTCAGTGCTTTCACGAGGAAACAAAATCAGGCTAATTGCAGAACTGTTGGCTTCTCTTTAATCTAAATATTCAAACATTTGTCTGTTTGCCTTCAGGCACAACAACAGAACTCCCATCCAGACCCATTAGCAATACTGGATCCAGAGAAATACTCCCTGCTGTATGCCAGGGGGGAGGACTGGTATGAGGCCTACGACAACTGTCAGATTGTCAGGACCTTAGATGTTCCATGGTCTCGTGAGGATTCTCAGTGTCTGACAGCAAACATAGTTGTGAAACCACAGGTGGCAACTGATCCAGAGGAAAAGATCAGGCAGCAGCAGTGGCTGACCTACCTGATTGGACACGACCTGGAGAGAGAGGCGTCAGACAGACTCGGTGAACTAACGTTCACCCGCAGAAAACTGGCATCTCCGCGACGACAAGAGCTGAAGACCCGAGATGACACGTCGTACACCACGGAGCCCTGGGTGACGTCCGCCCCCGTCCCAAACGAGCTGGAGGACTGGCTGGAAAGGAAGTTTTCCATCACCCTCCACTACCTGAAGAGAATCAGCTTCAGCGTCCAGGTGGACTTTGATGCCACACCCAAAGTTCTGCTTAAGGTTTTTAGAAGAGTTGCGGCGGACAACGGGGTGGAGTATGATGCTTCTGAGGATCTGGTGCTGAAAGTCACAGGAAGGGAGGAGTTTTTTTCCGGCGACTGCGCCCTAATGGAGTTCCTCTGGGTTCGACATTGTCTGGAAACCAACCAAGACCTCCACCTTTCTGTGCTTCCTGTCTCACACCTGGTGGCTGAAACCGTCAAGTTTGTTGACTGGCCGCTTGTCGATGGGTTCAGCGGTCAGTTCAGTTCCCATGATGATCTTAGCTTCAAGGGGAAGGACTTGGATGACATCTTCATGATATCCTTGTGGGACTGCAACAGGTGGCTCAGAGTCAAGCTGCTTGGCTTCGACATCCCAAAGCTGCCAAATAAACATCCTCAGTCGATCTACGTGGAAGCATCCATACTCTACGGCAGCAAGGTCCTCTCCACAGTGTCCTCCGTCCCCAAGCTTTTTGCAGATGAGGTGCTGTGGAACGAATGGTTGGACTTTGATGTTCTCCTCAGGGACCTGCCACGTGGAGTCAAGCTGGGTTTCACCATTAATGCAAGCGCTGGTGACGTGTCCCCAACAACCAAGGACACAAAGCCAGCAACCAACCGAGACTCGAAGGCTTCTACCATCAGAGACTCAAAGCCACCAACGCTCTCGGCCAGCAGGCCAGCAGAGGCTCAGAAAGGAAAAGGAAAGGTGCTCTACTTTGTCAACCTTCTTCTCATTGATCACAGGTGAGCTGAGCTTCACAGTGGTGTCCAACCCTGATTCTCGAGGGCCCCTATCCTGCTCCAATGGTTCAATCAGCTGTTCAGCAGGTCAGCAAGCTCTGCAGGAGCTTGCTAATCACCCGATGATTGACACCACAGGACGGTGGCCCTGCAGGGTCAGAGTTAGTCATCTCTGACTCAGAGGTTTCATTCACAAACACATTCAGAGCTTGATTTTAGCTTCCTGGAAAAAATGATCATAATATTCAGTTATGGAAGTTCAGTTCATTTGATTTTCTCTTTTCTTTTTAAATGTTCTCCTTTCTCCTGCGAGATGTGCTCGCTTTATTAATGTGTTGCACGAATTACAAGACTCAAATTGCCATGGCGATGCTACGGCTCTGCTATGTTCAGTCAATTAAATCCTATTTATGCTAATTAGCCCTCCATCTGGGAAGATTTTAGCATTCTTGTTACTAAATGCTCCAGGAAACATGTGAGTGTTTCATTCAGTCGTTTTTTTCTAAGAAGGTGAAACGTTGTCCTAATGTTGTTTATAAACCCACATAGAAAAAATATGTTTATTTCAGTGCAGTATCATTTTTGTACATTTTTCATTTACAATAAATTCACAATTGGGCCTGATTCCCCTGGGATGGGCTGATTTATTCACAAGTGTTAACCCCTAAACATCAGGATTAGTACCTTCATCAGAAACCCGCCACATCCAGTCCCATGCCCAGCTACTGCCCTCTTTAAAGGGTTAGCATCAGTATTTTAAGTGGACCTCTCAGAACAGGAGCATTTTTCTAGCGTACCGTGCCATAGTTTTCATATTAAGACAAAAGAAGTCAAACTTTAGCCAAATCTAGCCGGATATTTCTCTATGTGATGTTGATTTTTGCAGAAAATGTGAAAATCTGTTGTAGAAATTCTACACAGATAATTCAAGAACATTTAAAAGCTGCTTAACCCTCCCACTGTCCTAATGGGTGACCCCGCGAGGAAGGTGGGCCATTGAGCAGGGTTGATGGTTTATCCCTTGAGGTCCACGTGGCAGGGGTGAGGTGGTGCTCACTCCTCACCCCTGCCACGTGGACCTCAAGGGATAAACCATCAACCCTGCTCAATGGCCCACTTTGCTCATGGGGTCACACCAAACCCCCACAATGCAGGACAGAAATTGAGTCCAATGTGGAAGTGAAATAAATTGCAGTTCCACCCTCATCCACTAGGGGCTGGTGTCAGAAGCGAGCAAATCCTCATTGACTCTCATGTTAAAAATACCAATTTCACAGCAGAAATAAACATGTTTACAACCTGGTTCCAAAACATGTTTTCTGTTTAAATGATCTAGTTTACACTCATGACAACTCTGAGGGGGGTGAATCTTTTTCTCACTCTTCTGTTTAAGTGTATTAAAAGCCTAAAATTCGGTATAATTAATGAGCATCAGACCCACGTGACCACAGAGCTAGCTCCGTGGAAAGGCCGCAGCCTGAGCCTTGGCCTCGCCTGAAAACTGTTTCGTCAGTTTCAGTCTCTCAACTTAGACCGTTAGTTGTGTTGTTTGTGTATTCTTGTTTGGATATTTTTTGTGCAATTGTTGGACAAAATGACTTGCTGTGGCAATAATTGCACCAATAGAGCGTCCAAGGAGTCTCCACTTCATTTTTTTCGGTAAGTAAAATTATATTTATGTATTTTAGGTCACTGCCGAGCTGAGCTTAGATTTTAACATGTACTGTTTCACCATGAAATTTAAATGTAATAGGGTAAAACCCAGTGCATTTAACATAATGCTGCACTTTAGAAAATGGGTTGAAATTTAACATGTTGGTGGAGCTGGGTTCCGACTATCGGCTTGTGGAGCTCTCGGGAGACCGTTGTTTTCCACCCGTTCTCCCCTCCCCGCAGCTCGGCGCATCTCTGTCTGATCGTGGCTTCTGACTGCTGAGCTGGCTGTCGGCTTGTGGAGCTCTGGGATGGAAACCTTTCCACCAGGTTCTCCCCAGCGGCAGCTCTGCGCATCTCAGATCGCAGCGGCGCTTGTCTGCTGTGCAGCTGCCGGCTTGTGGAGGTCTCGGAGACCTCTGTGTTCCACCCGGTTTTACTTGGCGGTCAGCCCGGCGTATCTCTGACTCAGAAGCTCTGGTGTTGTGCACAGTTAACTCCGGTTGTAGCTAGGTATCTACCTCCGTTAGCTTAAATCCCACATCCGCGTTAGCGTTGGATTAGCTTCAGGTTGGCTTGTAGCTAGTTCGACCGGGTGTCGTCAGTCGATCCCAGCCTTACAGCCCCACCCTCAGCTCCACCTCTCTTCCCTTTTGTGGAATTGTCTGGGCTTGACAGAACCTGTGACACGGTCAAAATGGCGGTGGTGGCCACCTCCCATTTTTCTTCAAAAACGTGTTATTGGAGCCTATGGAAACCCATTGTCCAATATTTATATGTCGATGGGTCACACCCATTAGGACACTGGGAGGGTTAAACCTAAATGTTTTACCGTTGGTGTTTTCAGTCAGAATTACACAGAGTCATGTGGAAGATCTAAAGAGCCCCTCGTGGCTCCGGTGCAGCAGGTTGCAGACCCCTGGCCCCCTGAGCCTGCGGCTGGGCGACGAAAGGATAGCGATTCATCTTTAAAATAACTTTTCCTAGACAGACATATGAGAATGGGTGACAGACCTGTGATAAAAGAAGAGCTACAACGCTCAGCAGCAGTCAGACGCGCTGCTAACAGCTAATGCTAGTGTAGCTTAGCCTGCTGCAGCTAAGGCTGGGAATATACCTGCCCTTTAAATGGCTGCCTCACGTAACTTGCGTTGATTTGAATCATCGTTACTGCGCGTCCCTCAAAATTGACGTGGGGCATTTTTAAGCTGCAATATGCGAGTAACCAGTAGGCGGAGTTGAAAAAGTGAGCGAGGCACTCAGCATGGTCCCTCCGTCTCTGTGGAGGTCTTTCATAGCATCTACAATACCGCTGCTGTCTTTTTTCTGCCGTGAATTTAAAATGAACCGGTTACCGACCTCTTCTATTGGCATCATAACCACAACGCCCGGCCCTAGCCTCACCTTAGATTAAGAAAATCCCGTTTCTGACTGTGGAGCATAAATGTTCAGATGCTGCTTATTCTATAAAGTAGATTTTATTGGAGAAACTTCTTCCACCTAACCTGGTTTTCTGCTTTCTTCTGTTTAAATCCTTTTTAGCTTCTTGTATTCACAAGCAACATATTTAGATTTGTAATATTCTCCTTAAAGGTCTTAACGAAAGTTTAAGAATAGCTTCAGCATTACTCATGATTTACTGTTGCAGGTCTGTCCTCAGTCAGGGTCCCTACACCCTGCATATGTGGCCCTATCCGGATCAGGACGATGAGGCCATCACCTACCAAGCAGACAAGTTGTCCTCTGCTACAAACCCTGACAGGTCTGAGTCCATGGCCATCAGCTTCCTCTTAGACTGCTACAGCTTCCCCGTGGTTCTGCCAAACACCCTCAGCCAGAATGATGGCGCCTCCAGTTCCACCTCCAGCCTATTCCAAGACAAATCCACTCCCCCTATGTATGCACCGTCCACCTCCACCCCAGTGACCTCCAGCACAGATTCTGCTCATCAGCAGGAGGAATCTCAAGGATCAGACACAGACACGGTAGCTCTCAGATCCACATCTTCAGTCCTCAGCAAAAAGAGGGCTTGTCTCAAAAGGTTCAGAGAGGAGAGCATCCAGTACGCCTCCAACTTGCCCCAGTTCTTGCGCAGTATTAACTGGATGGACCGTCGAGTGGTGGAGGACGTCCACTGGCTTCTGGGAAACTGGGATCCCGGTGAACTGGATGTAACTGTGGCCCTGGAGCTGCTAAGTATGGATTTTACAGACGAGATGGTCAGAAGACTAGCTGTTCAGAAGCTGGAGAGTCTGTCCAACGATGATGTGCTGAAGTATCTGCTGCAGCTGGTGCAGGTAGGTAGTGTCCATGTGAGCAAAAGTCACCGTGGATGAAGAAGATTCTGATGTTGTTTCACTGAGATCTGCATCTAAAGGTGGTGACAGCTCACCCGTGAGGATGCTCTTCAGAATAATGAAAGAAAAGCCTTCTTCTCATGAAGTGTATCAACAGTGCTAATGCATTAGATTCACTTGTTTTCCTGTGAGGTCTGACATCTCGCGCTGTAGAAGCTCATCAGCGCCATCATGGCGGCATGTTCTCTTGTGTTTTTGTAAGTCGTCTTGTTGAGAGTCATAAAACCTTTGTTACTTTTACAGACCCTGAAAGTGGAACCTTATCACGACAGTTTTCTGGCTCGATACCTAATCCAACGAACTCTCCGGGTGAGTCCGTTATTCTGGGGTGAAACAAACATACTTACAGTAGATTCTGCGTGTTTGCTTTTATAATCTAAATTATGGCTCGTGCTTCCCCGCAGAGCAAGAGAATCGGCCACTTCTTCTTTTGGTATGTCCGCAGCGAGGTGGCGGGGTGCCCATACTTTCGCCAGCGCATGGCGGTCATTCTGGAGGCGTACCTGCTGGGATGTGGTCAGGCCATGATCGATGACTTCACCCGTCAGGTCCAGGCTGTGGAGGCTCTGCAGGAGGTGGCTGTAATCACTAAGAGGCTTTATCCCGATAAAACGGACCTCCCTTCCACAGGTGAGAGACGTTCATAGGGTAAAATAATCAGAGGACTAAATGATGTAAAACTTAGCAGGAAAATGAAAGCAGTCTGTATTTTAGTCGATTAATTCTTTATTTTAACAATCTTTTAACAGATCCTGGAAGTTTCTTGTTAGTGGTGAAGCTGGAGCACAAACTCACTGAAAAAAGAGAATAGTTTAATCAACCTAATTGAATTGCTTCAATTAGTAACAAGCAATTTAATTAAGTTTATCCAACCGAAATTATTAAAATTGTACTAATAATTTAAGTTGGATAAACTTAATTAAATTGCTTGTTACCAATTGAAGCAATTTTTCAAGATGGATCAACTTTTTCATTTTACAGTGCTGTAATAAATTGTAGGCCAAAATAACTTAAAAACTTGAGTCATATCAACTTAAACTAACACTTTCTTTCAACTCTATATGTCAAGTTGTACAAATATCATCACCAACAACTATGCTTTGTTAGAATATTATATTGTGAGTCGAAACAACAAATCTTATTAGATTACAAAGTGGAAAAATCATTTTTGTCTTGTTAAACATACACACTATTCAACATTATGTTAACTGATAAATTTGAGTTAGACACGTATGGTTGTCCATTCAAATTAAAAGTTTTTGTTAACTGAACAAATGGATTAAGTGTTTGAACTTGTGTTATCAAAACGTCAGCTGTCATGCCAATACAGGCCAACAGGAAGCTAACAACAACACTGAAAAACCCCGGCTAACTCACGCCTCATACACAACACAGGGAGCTGAGTCCTGAGCATTTAGCGAGATCTACAACTTAATTTGTTGCAGCGGAGTGAAACGGCACAGCGTTCTTATTCCTATGACTGTCCTCCGCACTTTCGGTGCCAACATGACAACAAATAACTCCACCTTTGGAACACTAAACAAAGCAAAACTAAGAACAACACAACCGCCCACAATAAATGTGCATAAACATCTCAAATTAGAACAAAATAACTAAGAACATGACTACCCACAATGCACCTCACCCACTGCAGCTTTCACAGTGGGCGGGGTCATTTTTTAATCTATAAATTGCAGTTTTAAGTTGACTGAGCGCACGAGAATGAGAAAAACATAATCATTTGTTGAAATAACAAGCAATTTTAAGTTTCCAATATCAAAACGCACAAAATTGAGTTTAACAATTAAAACTTAACAGGGAGACTTAGGTGAAATAGAGAAAAATAAATTGAAACAACTTTTTGAGGCTCTCTTTTTTTACAGTGCACCTATTAAATTATCCGTACTGAGCAGAGCGTTCCAGCTCTGCTCATTCTGAATGTCCTTCAAACTCCAGCCTGAGTTTTATTTTCTGGTTAATGTTTGTGTTTCCATTTTAAGAAAAATGAAGTTTCAAAGGAAAAAAGGCGTAAAGCGTGCAGTAGTTTGCATCCTTTAGAGTTTGTTTTTGATAACAGAAGTTTTATTTCCTGAATGAGAGCATGAATGATCACACTGAGTACAAATGCTCAAAAACAAAGCTAGTTATCTGGAGTCAGTGTTAAAAAAAAACAGCCCAGTTTCAGATCTAATGACACGGGTTTGGACAGAGGAGAATTAAATCGCTGACAGCTTTTCAGACGGATGAAAAGAATCACGAACGGGAAGTCATTTTGCTCAAGAGGCCTCATCAAAGGGAGCTCTTTCAGTGCAGCAGAAAGAGTTTTAGACGTTAATGGAGGTTATTACATTACTCAGCTACAGAATGGGAATTTTTAAACAGCTGAAGGACATTTTTATTTGGTTTGAAATGTCAAGTAGTGTCAAGTTGTGGGTAACCAGTTTCACCCAGGACATGAAGAACCACACGCAGATAACAAAAGTCCATCCATCCATCTTCTGAACCCGCTTTGTCCACGTAGGGTCGCGGGGGGGTGGGGGCTGGTGCCTATCTCCAGCAGTCAACGGGCAATCAGGCGGGGTACACCCTGGACAGAGAGCCAGTCCATCGCAGGGCAACACAGACACACAGGACAAACAGTCATGCACACACACACACACACCTAAGGACAATTTAGACAGACCAATCAACCTAACAGTCATGTTTTTGGACTGTGGGAGGAAGCCGGAGTACCCGGAGAGAACCCACGCATGCACAGGGAGAACATGCAAACTCCATGCAGAAAGATCCCAGGCTGGGAAACGAACCCAGGACCTCCTTGCTACAAGGCAACAGCTCTAACCACTGTGCAGCCCCCAGATAAAAGTAAAAAAATAAAATATTTATTTAAAAGATGAAAAGGGAGAACTAAAGGCGCTGCTCCAAAACAGGAACAGGAAGGAACCGGTATCTACAGCGAGAGATAACAAACGTGAGAGTATGGCAGAACCAGAGAACCAAGAGAAATGATATTGCTTTTGGGGGAAGTAATTCTTACGGTCAGAGACCAGGGTTCGGTGATGGTGAACTGGGTCAGGTCTAGTGGTGAAGAGGCGGCTGAACCGACGGATGAGGTGGAGATGAGCTGGAGACGGTAGTAGGTGTCCAAGATGTAGGTTGGAAGACAGGCGGGCAGAGGTGAGCGGAGGCCAGAGGATCCTGAACGACGTGACCTCGAGTACAACTCCAGGCATAGGTGGGTGATTCAAGGTGAGGTAACTGGAGACAAGAACAACAGGATCTTATGGGAGAATTTCACAGGAATACAGGAATCTAGACCAGGCTGGAAGTTAACCTTGGTGAGAGTATCGACCGGCGCTGGAGTTGTGTCACTCCGCTCCTTAAATCCCCTGGCCCTCTGATTAGCGAGATCAGGATCAGCTGGAGCTCACTGACACGCCCACCTGTGACACAAAACTGAAGAATGCCCGGTCTCCTTTAAGGATGATTAAGGCAGACCGTGACAAGAAGCCCGTAAAACGGTGGTTAAAACAGGATTAGACAATGTTTTTCTGGTTAGAATTTCTTCATCATATGGAGGCTTTATAAAAAGGGAAATTTAGTTTAGCTCTTATGTTTGATCCAAATGTATTTTGTGAAAGTTTCGTGACTTTTTCCAGTCAGAATAAGAATGAAGAAACTTCTTGGGCACTTCCAACCGGTTATAATTCAGAAGAAAGGCACAACTCCTGTTGAGTAAGTCCCTTCTGTACATCTAACAGATGATGAAAGTTGTTTTCTTAGCCAGCCAACGTGTTTGTGCACAAATCCACTTATTCAGTTTAAAAACACATTTATAATCAATCAAACAAAAACAGGCGCTGATCGTATGCAAATTAAAAAATGTTCCATCTTGTTCCTGACAATTGAATTAATTATAATAACAGGAAGCTTTGAAAAAATGTTTAATTCTCACAAGGTGCTTCTTGACATTCTGGAACAAATCTGTAGTTCTTCGTTATAGAAACGTGCAGAACTTACCAGAAAATAGATCCAGATGTTTATTGTTTACATTTCAGACATGAAGTTGTGCTGATTTTGTTGTTCAAATATCGTCTTCATGTCAGGAGCAACATATTTACACATAGGGATCTTATATTTATTTCTCATGCCTAATCAGAATGTCTCTGTGTTATAAGTCACAACGAGCCACATCATTAATGCGTTCAAACAGTAAAGCTTTCATGTTTAAACTGTGTGTGTTATGTATTTGTATTAACACGCCGTAAAAGTCCAATTAACAATAAAACCTGATGGGGCTGCAACAACAAACACCAATAATAATAATAATAATAATAACAATTTCAGTTCAGTTCATTTTATTTCAAACGTATACATTCACCAACATTTCATAAAATCATTCCATGCAGTTGTTTGAAAAGGAGTAGGGAGAAGTGTATACTTATTTAGCCCCACCCCCTCAGGTTTACATCCTCATCATCTCAATTTGAACAGCAAAACATTTACAGTGCCTTCAAAAAAAATAAAATACAATAATTCTCATGTTCAACTAGAACTATATTTATATTTGCTAATTTGTAGAAGAGATTAAACATCAGTTTGCATGCCGTCCTGGGTTAATTGCATTTTCTTCATTCTTATACTTATTTAACATTTCTTTTTTGAGTTTTATTTTAAACTGGTTTATATCACTACTGACCTTTATTTCTTCTGTTAACTCATTCCAGAATTTAACGCCCGCTATTGAAATAGACATCCATTTCAATGTTGTTCGTACTCTTTGTACTTTTAAATTCCACTTCCCTCTACAATTATACCTCCCTTCTCTTTCTCAGAACCATTTACTTATTTCAATAGGGATCATCCCTTTCCTTGCCTTATATATTATTTGCGCTGTTTAAAACTTGACCAGGTCCTGGAATTTTAAAGCTTAATAAAGAGTGCGTTTGTGTGAGCCCTATACCCCTCCTGATTTATTAGTCTAATAGCCCTTTTCTGCATTATGATTATAGTCTGAATATTACTTTTATATGTGTTTTCCCAAACCTCTACACAATAACTCATGTATGGTAATAGTAAAGCACAATATAACATATATAATGTCTTCCTATCCAGAAAATGTTTTACTAAGACACCAACGCCCCATGCTAACTTTCCCCTCACATAAGTGATGTGTGATTTCCAACAGGCCTTATGATCAATGATCATAAGGCTACTACTACTAATAATAATAAATATTCATTGGTTTTCTTGTTGTGGACTATTAAGGGTTTATAATCGAGGTCTCCCGCATTGAAGCCATTTATTTATCGATGTCCTATGTTTTCTTGTTTCAGCTCCTCACAAGCTACAGGAGCTCTTAAGAAACAGCAATCTGCCTAACGAGTTCCTGCTGCCCTTTGACCCTCGCGTTAGAGTAGGAACCATCCTGGTAGGTCCTGCTTCAAGCATCCCTTTGTGCTTGAAGGGAGACTTGGGCGACTTTGTGTTGAATAACAAAATATTCCCTTTTTTCTGTCTGGTGAGCAACTTAGCACCCAATTTAAAACAACATTTGTGGCCTCATGCAGCAGAAAGAGGTCAATTCTTTAAGATAACTTTAATGTCTTTAATTATAACACTGGTATTTCTCCAGTTTCTCTCCTATAACAACGCAATCGACCCTGTAAGAAGTTCCTGGTGTTAAAAAGAAAGAAAACAGACAGACGTTCTAGTCTTCCCGTCTGTTTCCTCCACCACTTTCTCTGCAACCAGAATCCTAATGAAGCAGTGAGATTAAAACCTGCAGGGGATCTGGGTTGAGGGACTCTAAAGTGTTTTTTAAATCCTCCTGAGGCAGCTGGACAAATGCAAAGTGATGGCCTCCAAGAAGAAGCCTCTGTGGCTGGAGTTTTCTCCAATGCCGTCGCCCACCTCCTCCGCGCCCGTCGGAATCATCTTCAAGGAGGGGGACGACCTCAGACAGGACATGCTGGTCATTCAGGTCACACCGATCATTCCGACCTTCATCTTCTACTTTACTAATGTTTAAATAAAGGAAAGTTGTGCTGTTTTCTTTAGACACTGGCGGTGATGAACTCCATCTGGCAGGAAAAATCTCTGGATTTAAATCTGATTCCATACGGCTGCATCTCCACAGGACAGAACATAGGTACCAGCACGATCCTTTCTGTTTGCTGCGGGCGTTTTGCTTTGTAAACCTGAATCAGAAGCCGAAGCAGAACCGACCTTGATGTTGTTCCTGTTCCTGTTGTTGATGTTTGAAAGGTTTTAACTGGTCCTGATGTTGCTGCGCCAAAGTGCAGCAACAGTCTCAGTCTGAAAGCTGAAATAAATGGAAATAAATACGCTTAAGAGCCAGCATTGTGAAAGATTTGTTGGAGTTTTACAGAAGAGGAACTTTCAGGACTAATTTCCACTGCCAAGGTCTTGATGATTGAAGAGATTTGTTAAAACTGACCCAGACTGCTCCCTTTCATTCTGTTTCTCTGAAAAGGCATGATTGAAATTGTGAGGAACGCTGCAACCATAGCTGCCGTCCAGAAAAGCCATGGAGGAACAACAGCAGCCTTTAGAAATGATGCTCTCTTTGAGTGGCTCAAGTCCAAGTGTCCACTCCAGGAAATAGTGAGTAAAGACACATAAATGCACATTTGATAGGAGAATCAAGCACAGTCACACCAGGCATTACATTGGCAGGAATTAAAGGGTATTATAATTAGAGCTGTTTCCCTGTGGTGGAGCAAATTTTGATAAAAGTGTCTTCTACCTAATCAAACAAAAAGGTGTTGCCTCCATTAACCCTGGCATGTGCAAAAGTTTTAATTTTGAGTTATCATAAAGTCTAGTCTGCTCTGATTAGTTGGAGGTTCTGTGACATCTATTTAATTTAATGTAATTTAATTTAATTGTATTTAATTAAATTTAAATTAATTTAGTTTCTTGTCTGGGGATTGGACCGCCAAGGCTCCCGCCTTGGTCTGCCACCCGATTCGCATTGCACCGGACCCTTCGTGTTCCTCCTGCGGGTGGTGGGTCCCCCGGGTCGGGGGAGAGGTCCTACCTCAAGTGGAGGAGTTTAAGTATCTCGGGGTCTTGTTCACGAGTGAGGGTAGGAGGGATCGGGAGATCGACAGGCGGATTGGTTCGGCGTCTGCAGTGATGCGGACGCTGAGCCGATCTGTCGTGGGGAAGAGGGAGCTGAGCCAGAAAGCCAGGCTCTCGATTTACCGGTCGATCTACGTCCCAATCCTCACCTATGGTCATGAGCTTTGGGTAATGACCGAAAGAACGAGATCGCGGATACAAGCGGCCGAAATGAGTTTCCTCCGTAGGGTGGCCGGGCTCAGCCTTAGAGATAGGGTGAGGAGCTCGGACATTCGGGAGGCACTCGGAGTAGAACCGCTGCTCCTCCGGATCGAAAGGAGCCAGTTGAGGTGGTTTGGGCATCTGGTCAGGATGCCTCCTGGACGCCTCCCCGGGGAGGTGTTTCGGGCATGTCCTGCCGGCAGAAGGCCCCCGGGTCGACCCAGGACACGTTGGAGAGGTTACATCTCCAATCTGGTCCGGGAACGCCTTGGGGTCCTGCCGGAGGAGCTGGTGGAGGTGGCCGGGGAGAGGACGGTCTGGAGCTTCCGAGTTGGGATGCTGCCCCCGCGACCCGGACCCGGATAAGCGGAGGAAGACGAAGACGAAGAATTAATTTAATTTTATTATATTTTATTTAGCTTAGTTTTAATTAAATTAAATTTAAATTTATTTATTTTATTGTACTTAGTTTAGTTTTATTGAGTTTTATTTAGTTTTAATTTATTTTATTTTATTTTATGTCATTTAATTTAATTTAATTTTAATAAAATTTAATTTAATTTAATTTTATTAATTTAATTTAATTATATTTTAGTTTATTTTAGTTTAGTTTATTCTCAGAGGGCATAATCTATGAGTATTGTGACTGAAATGAAAGACTGTAAGGGAATGATTTTGTTAGAACATTGGAAACTATGAAGATGATTTTACATTAGAAAGTCAAAAAGAAGCTTGAAACATGAATAATTAAAGAGGGACACACTGAACTCACTTTTTCATTCTTTGCGCTGAAATGTGGGTCTCTACTGGCGTTAAAAACTCTCCAAACTTGAAAAAAATGCATCCATCTGTTTTCTATCTGTGCGTTACTTTAAGAAATACTATGTACCTAAAATGAGCAGTTTTTAAAAGTCCCAGTTTGTGATGTCACAAACAGAGAAATTAGCATAGAAGCTGGAGGAGCAGAAACTTTTCTCCGAGTCCCATATGGATATCAGAGCTTCTCAGTTCATAGCAGCCTGGGTGGGTGTGGCCAGTTTGTTTTCTTACAGCGTCACTAAATACGTTCCCCCGCGTTGATGTTCATTCTGGTGTTAGCTTGTTTTGCCTCCAAAGTCATTATTCTCTTGTGTTTACTTCCACGCTTCGCCATAAAGCCAACAAATAAAAATCTTCATCTTCTTGTGCTTTTGGTCGATGGTCGGTAAACCAAAAAAACTAACTGCTAGCAGAGTAAACAGCTAACAGCCACAAAGCAGGCAGAGAGCTCTTGTTAAGTTTCAAGTAGGTACCAAACCAACTGAAATAATGCACTGTTAGTTAGGGTCAACTGGAGTGTTTACTTTGTAAAGCGCCTTGAGATGACTCTTGCTGTGAATCAGCGCTTTATAAGTAAACTGAATTGACTGAAGTGCGGTTTCTGGTCAGCAGAGAGCTTCAGAGTGCTGTCAGATGTGAAGATGTGAAGTTTCTACCTCAATAATCACTAAACCCACATTGGAATTAATAGCTTAAAGTGTTAAAACCTCCTTAGGGTTGCTTTAAATCAACAGCGCCCTGAAGCGGCTCATTCTGGAAGGTGCTGAAAATGTCAGGAATGAAACTGCAGAGAGCGCTTTAAGTGAGATGGATTCTGAGCATAAAAACCTCATGAACATGTTTTGTATCGACCATAAAACTATTGTAGCTTAATAAAAAGGTCACATGCTTCCTTTAAACCATCAGAAGTTGTTAAATGGCAAGCAGTTGTGTCATTAAACAGTCACAGTATATTAACATGATTACTTTTTTGGCTTTAACGCATTTATTGTATTAAACAAATCAATTGTTTTGCATAATCAAAGTCTCCAAATGTGACACAAACCCACCCATGTGCTCATATTTGACTACTGGAAATTTTAAAAGAAGTTAATTTACATTTAATTAAGGACCCGTAAGACATAAGATTCCAAAGTAAATATGAAATCAATCTTACGGACCACTGGGTTATTTAACCAGACGATTGGAACTTTTTATTGCAGGAATTATGCAACACTTTGTATTAACTGAGAGACAAGAGAAGAGAGAGTCCTTTAAAACGTTTAAGATGATTTATTTCTAAACAATTTAAACAAATTTAAACAAGACTAACTCTACTCTAAGTGATGGATGGATCTGGTGTGAATGAGACGTGAGATGAATGGTGTGTGTGTGTGAGTGATGTAATCAGAACTCTCATATCCGGAGAAGCAAGTCTGAATGATGTTGTGATGTTTTGCTTCTAGCTATGATCAGAGTTTGATCGGAGTTTCATAAACACATGAGACGCCATGTTGTCGCTCCACACATACCCTTGTTGAGACCTCGGTACAGATCCAGAATGCCAGGTCCTCGGACCCCCCTTTCGGTACCGGAGCCGGTGAAACAGCGTCAGCAGTACGACAGACTAGTCTTTGGATTGTCTCCAGGTAAAAAGCGACAGGTGGTTCATGGCGTCAGATGGAGCCAGAGGGTCAGTGAGTTCAGCTTTTATTCTGAAAGGAACCATTGCTTGTTGGTAAAGTGCAACAGATTTTATCCAGCTTGTTGGTTCTTTGCTTAAAAAGGAAGTCCGGGTGGCCGGTCCGATACTTCTCTTAGCATGCGGTGAACTCCAGTGAGATCTTGAGAACTGAACTAAGATGGCGTGGGAACTGGTTTTATTAATCTGGATGTTTTGATTATCAAAGTTGGCAGATTTATAAACACCACAGAGACTATGCCACGCTTCAGAAAGGAAGGTTCTGATTGGATCAGCAACAGCAATGTGTCGTGCGTTTACATTACGTGTAGTCAGCGTGTCTAGTGTAGCTAGATTAAAGTCATATTACTTATTAAAGCATATTAATCATAACATTGTTATTTCACAGATCTGTCAACATTATATTATTGACTAACACTTTGTTTGATTAGCTTAATTAAAAATAGAGTTCTTTGATTTATTAAAAGGAAAGAGTCCTTTATCTTCATTCTTCTCTTGCTGGAAAGAAAACAGATTTAGAAACAAATGCATGACCTTGAGGCAGTCTCATGCACTTAGTACTGTGTCAGAGGCATCTGTGGAGAGAAGGTAAATAACCTTGGAGGAATAGCTCCTTCATCACGTTACAAAATTATTTTTTACTTTATTGTGATGTTCTGCTAATGGCGTGCTGCTTTGAGGCTGATGGAATGCGAAAATTCCCTTATTTGTGGTATTTTGAGTGTATTTTCTATCACAGCGATGTATTATTTTACTCAAGAGGTCTGAATAATTGTTGTTATTGTTGACACGCGTTATGGAGCTTTTCTGTTGTTGTTTGGCTGCAGCACTATAAGACTGTGGAGAGGTTTGTGAAGTCCTGTGCGGGCTACTGCGTGGCCACCTACGTTCTGGGAATAGGAGACCGTCACAATGACAACATCATGATCACGGACCAGGGTATGCAACACAGATCCTCCTTCAATCCAGCATAAAATAAACTGTTTTATTTAACGTTCAATCTCACAAAACGGCAAATAGAAACTGTACTAAAAACTAAAGAGGCAAAATGCGGACATGAGGCTTAGGCATGCTTTTGTTGTCTTCCACACAGGAAATTTGTTTCACATCGACTTCGGGCACATCCTGGGGAACAGAAAGAGCTTTCTAGGTGTGAACAGGGAGCGAGCACCGTTCGTCCTCACACCTGACTTCCTGTATGTGATGGGCAGGGTTAAAGGTCGAAACAGCCTCAACTTTCAACGATTCAGGGTAAGAGAGCCTGATATTATTGGCAGCGTAGCCACAGTTGCCCCAAAGGGCGCTGACAGAACTGATGCTGCAACACACCCTATTTCTTCTTCTACTGTTTTTAGGATACTTGCTCTGAAGCGTACCTCCTGCTGCGCTCCCACTCTCGCCTGCTGGTCACTCTCTTCTCCCTCATGCTGCTGACCGGAATCCCCGAGCTGAGTGCTGCCGAGGACATGCGCTACCTGCGGGAGGCTCTCCAGGAGGAACAGAACGAGGCGGAGGCCAAGGAGCATTTTCTCCAACAAATCTCGGCGTGTGAGCAGCTTGGCTGGACTGTACAGGCCAACTGGTGGATCCACATGGTGGCAGGCATCAAGTAGCCATCCAGCTGTCTTCTCACCTCAACACGGCATATCTTTTACTCTCCTATTGTTTATCTTTAGCGTGGGCTTTTGTGTTGGTGTTTAACGTTTCTAAGCCACTATAACTCCAGATCTCATCATCCTTCTCCTAACTTTTCTGACACACAGTGCTGGTAATGAAATATTCATACAGCATTTAGGCTTTTAACTGTAAAATTTAAGCATGTTTGAGGCAAACAGTTTCTCTGTCACTGCGTTCATGCAGTCACCTCCACGTAAAAGCAGATTTTCACCAACATAGAAGATTTCAGAGAGCATTTCAAGGCCAAAAGCTGCAGTTTCAGGAAATGTTTCAGTGCCTAAAGGTGCAATATGTAAAAACAAAATAACGAGGGCATCTTGTGGTCAAATGTGGTTCCTGCAGCTCATTTTATCACCTGTTCTGGGCGTTTCATGGCTGTTGCCAGTTACAGATCAGTGCCGCACGATTCTGGATGAAAAGCTGAGATGAGTCATACGCAGTAAGTTGATAAGTAGATAAACACATTGTTATATCTGGAGTTAGCACTCTTGGGTGTTTTACGGCAGGCAGTGCTTACTAAACTTACAACGATAGTATGCCTGTGATATTACAGGAAGTGTGGTTGTTCTGATCGACTCATTAAAGGAAGTAAAGCGCCGCCATTGACTCATTAATTTCACTGTCTTATCCAGTTGTTGGTTACTCAAAAAGTAGCTGCAGAACATTTTAGAGTCGACCATTTGCTTCTAACTCACCGTTAACATTGTTAGCTCAACGTTAGCCTCTAGTCTTCTTCACCCGATATTAAAGTAAAAAGATGCCGTGGCTTCTTAGAGGTACAGGAAATGACTTCTGGGTCGCTCCTGTTCCCTGCAGGATATTTCAACAAATGAAGCTTTTTGCCTGCCGGTGTCGAACAAATGCCAGCGCTGCAGAGTGATTTTGGCGACAACTCGGCAGCCTCGTGGTCTCACTGACTAGAGTGATGTCTCCCTCTTTTGTTTTTTGAAAGGAGAAAAACTGACAACCCCCCAGCCGTCTGACAATGAAATCAGTTTCAATACAACCTTCCTTCCAACATGGTTGACACATTACACAGTTATGTGTAGGGATGAGCCGGATACTCGTTTCAGACGAGTATCCGGTACGGATAAAGCATTTTTGACGAATACGAGCATGAAACGAGTAAAACTCGTAAATATCCGTAATCGTGCTGAAGGAAAATCCTCATTGGGTAACTGACTGTCTTCACGCTCTGTGATTGGCCAGTCAAATAGAGCGCCCGCCCCTCCCTACACACAAAACTCTGCAGCCGGAGCTCACAACTCAGTCTGCATCCGGTCCATCCACGCACACACACACAGACAGTAACGGACCTCTCTGTGCTTGCTTCACTGTTCACGTTTCTTCAGAACTCCCTATGTTTTCTTCAGTTTGCATCTTTTTAAAGTGACTTTAAAGTTATTTAAAGTTACTTTTTTCATAACGTACGTGGTGCATTTGACAAGACAGAGCTGAAAACGGCTCGTGCTGCGTCAGTCACTGCCTCCGCTCCGGTCGGGTTTTTTTTCCCCCTCTCTCTCTCTCTCTCTCCTCTTCCTCAGGATCCACTCCCTCTTTCCTATTCACTCTCTCTCTTTCTTTACATTTTTAAATCACAATTGTCTATTTTTTGCTCATTTAAAATATATTTTAATCATTTTCCAAATTCTTTTTTCTATTTTACATGTTTTGTTTTTGTGAAGCGCCTCATGATTTTTATCATGAGAGGCGCTGTAGAAAAGATATTTTCTTCTCTCTCTCTCTTAATTCATGCACTTAAATATTAATGTTCTGATTTTATTGAAAAACTTGTTCTGTAATAGTTCCTTTACTACTGTGATCAAAAACATTTAATCTCAACTCTGAGGCTGCTCTGTTAATAGTTTTCAAATAAACAATACACATAACAACTTCTGATCAGACTTCAAATAATGTATTGATGTAAACCACACCCACTTCTGGTTAAACTACACCCACTTCCGGTTAAACGACACCCACTTCCGGTTAAACTACACCCACTTCCGGGTTAGGCCACGCCCACTCCGAGTACAGCTACAGATACAGATAGTGGTGTACTCGCTCATCCCTAGTTATGTGATCGTTTCTCTGAAGAATTCCTACACGTTGCCCCTTTAAAGCTCATTTACCTTTATTACTGATATGATGGATCCTAATGAGTTACTTTCATCAAGGAGACGGAGCCCAGACTGTAACATCTTAGCAGGACAAACCCTAATATTAGTTTAATGGTCAGCTTGTTCTAGATATTATTATTGGTGAGTTGTATGTAATGCAAAGGAAAAAGGGTGATCTTCATTCAAATAATATCCATCCACCTGAGGTGGATGGAACAGATCCAGGAGGGAAGCCAGGGCATTTTTCTTGCAGCAATTCTCTCGCACTCCTCCTGGGAGTTTCCAAGGTGTTCACCAGCCAAAGCGAACCTCGTTAACTCCAGGGGGAAATGTGAAATACACATCCTAATAAAGTGTGCGGCTTTTTAATGAGGAGGCGCAGCAGCTTCATCTGAAACGTGTCTAAGTGTCTGCACTCCTCGTCTTACCTCTAACGCTGAGCCTGACCAGCCGACAGCAAAGCTCGTTCAAGCCCCTCGGGCGCGGGGTCTCATTCTTTAGGTCACGATCCAAACATTAAAGGAGACCTTCACTTTTCAGCACAGCTCCCTCTCCTTTACAACAGACCAGAACCATGCTTACTTTACTACAAACAAATCCCCAAGTTGTTGTAACTCATCTCTCCGCCCATCCTGCCGTCGCTCACATGCAAGTCTCCAAAGATGCTGGAGAACATGAATACTGATGTTCTTCCCACTGGGGGTCCTTTTTCCTGCTGTAACAGAATGAAATGACTGTTTTCTACCAAAAGTCATTTTCCCCTCTCCTCTGACACAGAACTAGTCTGCATGAGATATGGCCTCAAGGTCTCATGCATTTGCCATAAACTGCTTCCTTTCCAGCTCAACAGAAGGAAGAAAAGGACTCTCCTTTTAATAAATCAAAGAACTCTATTTTATTAAAGCTAATCAAACAAAGTGTTAGTCAATAATAAGATGTGACCAATCTGTGAAATCAAAATATTAATTACTTTATTATAATGCTATAAGTAATGTGACTTTAAATGTTTCTACTAGGACTGATCTCACGTAGCGTTAAGACATGACTGTCACGATGCGGTGTTGGTAGGACCCAAAATGCAGGAACCCAAGATGACTCGAGGCAGGAAGTGATATAAGAAAATATCCTTTATTTGGATGAGCCCAGAACAACAAAATAGATCCAAAGGCAGGGAGCCAATAAGTCCAAAAATGTTCAATAACTAAGCTAGAGACAAAAACACTAAAGACTAGAAAAGAGAGAGAGATTCAAAATGCTAGAGACTAGAGAAGGCTTGACAGAATTACCACAATGGACCGACACAAGACAGAGACAAGACAGGGCTTAAATACACAGGGAGGAGTAGTTAGGGGAAATGGCAGCAGGTGTGTGGGGTGAGGGCTGGAGGGAAGACAGGTGACAATAATTTATCTAAATGGGGGAAACAGAACCAAAGGAGGACAGATAAACCTAAAACACAAAAAATAAACCTAAAGACTGAAGAAAGGACTCACACATACACACACTGACACACATAAACTCACACCTACATACACTGAACTGGGGAATGGACATGCATACACACACACACACACACACACACACACACACACACACACACACACACACACACACACACACACTGAGCTGAGGACCAGTGTTGGGAACGTTACTTTAAAAAAGTAATTAGTTATAGTTACTGATTACTTTGTCAAAAAAGTAACTCAGTTACTAACTGAGTTACAAGATCATAAAAGTAACTAATTACCAACAAAAGTAACTACGTAGTTACTTTTTTCATTAAAGAATGCAAGAATTACTACAATAGTAAAATATAAATGACTAATGACTGGAACATAATAAAATGTGTGTCCAAATGTTTTATATAAACCTGAATAATTTAAACAAACAAGCACTTAACAGGAGGAACTACTAACAGGAACATTACACGAATCTAGACTATTTAAAGGTCACTGTGTGATATTTAACAAGACCCCAATCAGCTAAAATTTAAAATTGCAAATAGAAACACATGTAAAGGTTCCCGAGCCTTTAAATGGTCTCTCAGTCTAGTTAAAGTACAGAAATAAATGTAATTTTGCACAACATTCTATTTTTCCAGCTTCACATAATTGTGCGTTTTTACTAGCATTTCTGATGCTGCTAATCTAGTAATGGTTAAATAAATCAATAAATCAATAAATAAAATCCTTTAAAATGACACTAGAAGAGGCACAAGCCTGATGGAGGACTTACATTTACTAACTTGGGTCAGACCCAACCACAGAAGAGCTGAAGCTGGGTGGTAAACACACACAGGTAGTTCTAATAACACCTGAGCTCCATGACGTCTGAGACAGATGCATCAGTGTTCTATCCCCAGTGAGTCGTGGAGGATGGCTGCTTATACTGAGCCAGGATTCTCTGGAGGTTTCTTCCTGTTAAAAGGGAGTTTTCCTCTCCACTGTCGCTGCATGCTTGCTTAGTATGAGGATTGCTGTATAGTCACTGACACTAGTCAGTGACTTGATGCAATTTGCTGGGTTCCTTATATAGGAAACATTATTTCTGATTGGCTTAATGAACTTTGAATTGGAATGTTTATTATGTGTTATTATGTGAAGTGCCTTGAGACGATTCTTGTCGTGATTTGGCGCTTTATAAATAAACTTGAATTGAATTGAATTGTTACAGCGGGATTAAAGAGATGATCAGAAACAGGTTACAACTGGATGATCTAGGAAGGCAGAAGATCAGGACGTCTGAGCGGTTAACAGGTGAGCGGACCTTCGGGACGTCCCGCTGTCACTCTAAGGGCACGTCTGCAGACCCCCCGCATATTCGCTGCTGCAGCAACAAATCTGCGGGTGGTCTGCAGCCGTAGACTATTCATCACGTCTTCCTCGTTCTTCACGGGCCGTGATGCTCTTAAACATCTACCTCTTTAGCTCCTGATCAGCTGATGACAGCTTTAACACACCGCGCTGCTTAACGCACGCATTTTCTTATCAGTAACAGGAACGACGTTTTGATAAAAGAAGACGGTAATTAATTAGTTTGCTCGTTACAAAAAGAAATATTTTTATTAACGCGGTTATTTTAAACGGAGTTATTCCCGTTGTGTCTACAGAATGCAGTGACTGAGACCGTGAGGGTCCCCGCCCACCCGACCAATCATCATCGTGTTTGTAAGTGCGTTACCGACACCTCTCTCTCCCTGGCTGCAGCTGAAGTGTGGCGGTCAGAAAGCCTCACACTGTTGCTCAACGTTCAACAAGCACATAGTAACGCACAACCTTCCATCCCCAGTAACGGTAACGGCGTTGCAACGGCGGGAAAAGTAATTAATTAGATTATTCCGTTACCTATAAAAGAACGCCGTTAGAAACGCCGTTATACTTAAACGGTGTTACTCCCAACACTGCTGAGGACAAAGAGGCTGGAGCTGACCTGGGAGGAATGATTTTTAAAGGGTAACAACATAAGACACTTTAACTGAGACGCAGACAAAAGACACATGAGGGCGCTATGAGACACAGAAGGGAATCTAGAGAGGGATGGAGAAACATCAGGAGACACATGAAGGAAGACACAGACGCAGACCATGACAATGACACATTGCTTTACTGATCCAATCAGAATCTGCCAGTTCTGACGGAGGCGTGGTTTTGGTGGTGTTTGGTAAATCTGTCATCTTTTCATTCGACCACAAACCAAAACATCTGAAGTATAAAACTATGCCCACACCATCTTTAACGCCAGTTCAAAGCGTTCTAGAGAAGTTGTCGGAGTGGCCAATCCGTAACTTTCCTCTTCAGCCGAAGGAACCAACGACAAGCTGGATAAAATCTGTTGCTGTTTCACCTGCTGCAACGGTTCCTTTCAGAATAAAAGCTGAACCATCACGACCCAGGTTTGGGTCTCACTAGATGCCAACAAACCGTCGTGACCCGGAAGTATCTCAAGACTGGTCTGGTCGGCAACTGCTGCTTTTCCTACCGGCTTCGTTTCCAGAGAAGGTCAAGCTGGACCTCGACATTCCTGATCTAACGGGGACTTCCACAAGGGTATGTAGGCCGACGGGATGGCGTCGAATGTGTTAGCGAAGACATCACCTTCAATTCCCACCAGAACTGATCGCAGCTTCGGATTTGCTGGTTCTGAGCAACATTCCACATCACACCATTCTCCATCTCATCCACCTTAGTTACACCATACATTTAGTGTTTAAGTTAGTCTAGTTTAATTTGTTTAGTAATAAATCTTTAAACTTTTAAACTCGACTCTCTCTTCTGTTGTCTCTGAGTTAATACGAAGCTGTTACATAATCCCTGCAATAAAAAGTTCCAATCTTCTGGTTAAAATAACCCAACAGATCCATAAGGCTGATTTCATATTTCCCATGGAATCCTACACCCTATGGCTCATTAAATAACATGTCATTTAAATCATTACACTGCTGGGGTGCTCTGGCGTGTTGTTCATGTGAAGCTGAGCATCTTTGTTTCAATCAGAGCTTAAAAGCATCCTAAGCACCACTTAGCCTTATTACTTTTTTGCTGTGTCTGAGCAGCATGCAAAGGTCACCATGACAACCACCATGACGACCATTGCTGACAAAGAATTGATCTTATGTGGTGTTGAAGTGTTCAGATTTATAGCAACGATTAGTCATGGGATCCGCAAAACGATGAGACAGATCATTGAATCGGCCTCTTTCTAAAGCAGAAACGTTTCAATAAAACAAGCTTTCACCGTTTCTCCTCAGCTGCCAATCGCTGCTAGTTATTGCTTGT